TCCTTTCTTATTTATTTTAATGATTTCTTTCGCTTTGCTTTCGCTTGTTCGAGGGTAGCTTTTTCAGAAAGTGGGGCCGTATTTTACCAATAACCCGACTTCACACCAATGATTTCCCCTACTCATAGAGCCAACCAAACAGTGTGTCAGTCAGTCTTCTGAATGGTCGAATCTAACCTAGATATCTCAGGTTCGCTGCTACTTCATTCTTTATCTATATTGGCACATCGTTACCGACAAGATTACGATGCATGCGCGAATATATTTATTTGTGCTCCTAGCGAAAGCATTTCAATAAAGGAAGGGGTATGGTTGAAATTGGGCTCATAGAAATCACATCTGTTTGTCAAGAAGTACGATTTTGATAATAATTTTTTTATTAAAAACTCTACACTTCGAAGCTTAAAAGCATAAGTTGGAAAAAAAAGATGAAAAAATATGTGGGATTTTTTGTTTTTTCACACAATTTATTTATAAACAAATAAGTTCCCAACATCGCCGTCGAACATGTATGAATTGGATCGGGCCGCAGAGAATTATAATACGAAAAAGAAGAAGGAGGAAAACGTGCGAAATAGGGTAACTAGGTTTGGTAGCCTAAACCAATATAGGATTATAAAATAAAATCTAAAAAAAATGTTATCTCCGAAAGTGCTAAGAACAAACGGCTGATTTTTTTAAGGAGCTCTTATTTCCTGTAATAAATATACTCTGAGGGGTTGCCATTCCCTGCCAAGAGCCGGCCGCAATTAGAAAATTTGACTTAATTTCTTATTTAAATTACTTTTATATAACTTTTGGATATTGGTCATACCCGGACAAGTATACCTAACGACGATTCACAGGCTACTTAATTTATTTCAATTTTCCCTCGCCCACGAGAGAAACGATTATTATTGTGAGCAGCTGACGACCTACCGGCAGAGCTATTCATGCATGGCGGTGAAAAGCTGTTAAGCTGCATGCATCAGCTACTTTGCAGAATATTGTCGGAAGAAATCATGCTCGACCATTGGAGTTTAAGTGTGCTCTGCCCAATCCTTAAAAAAGGGAACCACACGGTTTGTGACAATTATCGTGGGACAAGCCGCCTTAATATCGCCTAGAAGGTCCAGTAGAGCGTATTGTGTGAAAAACTTAAGTCCACCACCAACAAACTGATTAGGCGTTATGAGTGTGGCTTCAGACCTGGTAAGTCAACCATTGACCAAATATTCACCATGCGCCAAATCTTGGAAAAGACCCGTGAAAAGAGGATCGACACCAATTTAAAGCCGTCTTCGACAGACAACAACCGCGCCGTGAGTTCTGCTTTCTCCAGACTGGATAAGGAAACAAAGGGTTTGGGGTCTGGTAGTGAACGAGCGCCGTCTATCTAGGAACCAGCATCAACGCCAATAATGATGTCAGCCATGAAATCCAGCGCAGAAATACTCTTTACAGCGGCGGCCGCGGTAGCCGAGTGCGTACTGACATTCGGAAGGCTTGTTATAGAAAATTAATTTAAATAATAAATTAATTAAATTTCCTAATTGCGGACGCCACTTGGCAGGGAGTGTCCATCTCTCTGAGCGTATTTCGGACATGAAATAAAGGCGGCTTAGTATAAACTGTAGGTCCCTCCATTTGTTAGAAAAACATCAAGACGCAAAACCACAAATTGAAGGAGGAGATCGGCAGGAAAATCGCTTCAGCGGTTACAAAGCGCCAATTATATATATGTATACATAATTTTTATATAACATTTTGAGCTCTTATTCCGAAAAAAGAAAGAACTAAAAAACCAAAATAACACAGGATGTTGCGGCCGCACAGCATGTCACTCAGCTAAGGCAGCGGCTCTCTGAAGAAAAAGAAGATCAGAGTGATGAACTCGTATTTTTTTAGTAAACTGTATTATCCGGCATTGAAAGCGCGTTGTTAAAGTATTTTCTTTAACATGAAACAATAAATATTATTTAAAGTAATAAATGGTCAAAGTAGGAGAAATTAATAAAGAAATAGTAATCGTTTTTCTTTTGTTTTCGTGTTGAAACAAAAATATAAAAAAAACAGTGTACAACAATAAAGAGTAAAGTGAAAGTGTAAAGTACATTAAGTAAATATTTGAATAATAGAAAAGTAAGTAAAGTTAGTGCAAATTAAAGCAGGAAAGTACTTAAGGAAAAATAATAACAAAAGAAAAAAATATAATTTTGTTACTAATATTAATTAAATATTAATTTCTAAAAGCTATACGAGACTCATCGAAGGCCTTCGAAGCAGCATCTAAGTATGTACTTATGTAAGTAAATCAACAAAATATTGATGTTATCTTTTTTTTTCATTTTTTTATATTAAGGAATCAAATAACTTTATATTCATGAATATGTTTCAGTTTCTTACGGAACCATTTTTTACCTTACTTTTTATAATGTGCATTTGATTATAATATCAAATAATTTTATAGTGTTTGATTTGTTAAGCAAATTGTTTTTGAAAATGGCTTCGTGTGGTCGAAAAAATTTGGATTTATAGGCAAAATAAATTAAATTATGTAATTATTTGCCATTCAGAAAAAAATGTATATTGTGTTAAAATGAATAATTATTCGCACTCTATGTTAAATTTAGTAAATAAAGCATGATTATTGATTGCTAAATCTTAAAATAGTGGCCTGGTCTGGCCTAAAGGGGTTACTTTTACAATAAAGAAGCTATTAATAGGGTGGGCTCGGAGCAGCTAAAACTACATCAGTGACTGCTAAAATATTTTTATGGTTAGGCATTAGCTAGGAACTTGGGAGGCTTTGGAAACAGCACGTCGGTTCACTGATTTCTTTTTTTTCATGTTTATATGTACCAATTTTCTTCATCTCGTTGTTTCTTTCCAATGTCCAATTTTCCGATTTGGTCCTAAAGCCATTAAAACCCATGACTGAAGCAGCTGGAAAGCTGGTACACACAAATGGTTGCAAAGATATAAGCGGAACCGGTCGATAACTTCAGAATGGTGAATGGTTTAATGGGTTGTTGAAAGTTCATAACAAGATACGAATGATATTGTCTCCTCAATTTAAAAGCGCCTTATGAACTTACCAGGCCCCATGAAACAGATATTTTTATACTGCAGGTCATATACATGCAGGTACCTTTGAATGTGTTTATATTTTACTTCAGCTCAACTAGAATTTCTGATTTTTGCAAATTTTGCCATCGCCGGAATGAAACTGCTTGTGGATGGCGGGTATAGGGGAAGGGAATAGACAAGTTTTTGGGCATGTGTGTGATTTTCGTATACAAATTGGTCGCTTTGAATGTATGTATCTTCAACTTCGGACCAACTTGAATTCTGATTTTTGTAAATTTTGTCATCGTCGCGAAGAAAACGTTTGTGGATAGCGGAATGAAAGAGCGATGGGCTTGCGCGTTATTAAGATTGTGTGCGTTTTTCGTATACATTTTAAAATGCTTAAATGTATGTATGTGTTTTCACTTTGGCATGAGTTGAACATCAAATTCTAATTTTTAGCAAAATTTGAGTTCCCTTGAGAAAACTGTTTGTAGATGAAGAGTAGAAGTGATACATCTTCAAAGTTTTCACAGTTGCATTTAGGAATGCGTGATAATGTATAGTTGCTTTGCAACTGACGTTTTGAAACTCGTCCCTACTCACTTGAGTGAGGAAGGACAAACCTGTACCCATTAATTCTGAGCTTGCACGAGAATATTTTTGACGCTAATTATCGTCGCCCTTCGCGCTCACACAGAGACACTTTGTTCAAGCAATTTTCTCGACATTTGTTTCTTCTTCATATTTTTTTATATTCCCCTTTATTTTACACTTGCAATTTTTCGTTGGCCTCGCGCTTTTAAATATTTATAAAATAAAAACACTATGTTTGTGTAAAGGAAGACGCAGCTTTTATTTATCTACTTCTTTTATACATTTTTTAACTTTGATTAAACACCAGCTCTACCCTTTTCAAAGTGTGAACTTTTTACATATCTTGCCCTTTTTGCATTCATCATAGTCAATCCCAAAGGCTCTTCTATCTATTCTAATATTTATTGGCTTAATTAATTAATTTTATCTGCAAACTCCATTATCTGGACATTATCCAGGCATATATGTATGCATGCACGTATAAATATTGTAGTTAAAGCCCAAATTTCAATTTCCAAACATAAAACATTACTTCGTTTGAAATTTAAGACAGCTACAATCAGTTCAAAAACAAAATAAAAGGGAACGCCAAAATTTATAGATACGATGTGTCGAACGACAAAAAGTAACCCCGTGTAAGTTTGGACTAAAGGGGAATTTATAAAAAAAACTGTTGAATAATAGAGTAGTGCAATTTTGTAACTTTTTCGACACGATTTTTCGGATCGCAAAGATCCGAATTTTGTAGCTTGCGCTAGCGATTATGCGATTCTTTAACTCGTTTTTACGATAATCGACAACGGACATTTCCATTTTATTAAAATGTAGGAAAGTTACAACCATTGCTTAACAAAACATTAAAATATACGAAAAGCACAAAGATGAATGACAAAAAAAAATAAATTTGTTCTAGAAACTATTTTTTATTAAATGAATAGCCATGCATTCGAAATGTTATTAAATCAAAGACATGTTATGGTTTGCACTTTCTTGCATGACTCTTCGCTCTATAGAGGAGCTCCAAATAAAGTTATTGTGCCGCACTCTTGGCATTTGCCTACATATCTACCATATGTATATACAAATATAATGAACTTTGTTACTTCAATAGCAATTGAAAAATATGTACCCTCTCCACTGCTTCTGTCACGCGATGAATACAATACCTTACCAAAGAACGTATATTAATATAATATTTTATTAATATAATATAATATATGTTCTCTGCTATCTCTAAAACTCATTTAGATCAATTTATTAGCATGTCAGTAGGAATTTTATTCTTGGAAGTGCGTGTTAGCCCCTGTTAATGCAGATTTTGTAGTAGTTGGCAACTCGGCGCGAAAAACTGTCAAAATGACACTCGTGCGTGGTATTTTATTAGTCGCGTTTGATTGATTTCATATGTCAGATATTTGTGAACTATACTTTTAATAGCTTATAGTGTTAATAAAATTAAGCGGAATGGATGATGAAGCGGAAACCTACAAGCTATGGCGTATCCGAAAAACTATAATGCAACTGAGCCACGATAGAGGATATCTTGTGACCCAAGATGAATTGGACCAAACATTGGAACAATTCAAAGAATTGTTTGGTGACAAACCTAGCGAGAAACGGCCAGCACGTTCCGATCTCATAGTGTTGGTAGCACATAACGATGATCCAACGGATCAAATGTTCGTTTTTTTCCCAGATGAACCTAAAATCGGTATAAAAACAATAAAAACATATTGCACACGGATGCAAGAAGAGAATATACATCGTGCTATTGTAGTGGTTCAAGCTGGAATGACACCATCAGCCAAACAATCACTAGTTGATATGGCACCAAAGTATATTCTAGAACAATTTTTGGAATCGGAGCTATTAATCAATATAACAGAACATGAATTAGTTCCGGAGCATGTAGTAATGACACCTGAAGAGAAACAAGAACTTTTAGCACGTTATAAATTGAAAGAGAATATGTTAATGCGAATCCAGGCCGGCGATCCTGTTGCACGTTACTTCGGTCTAAAGCGCGGTCAAGTAGTTAAAATTATTCGTTCTTCTGAAACTGCAGGACGTTATATATCTTACCGACTTGTGTGCTAAAAATAGTTTATTAAGTTGTAGACGTAAAAATAAGAATTTGATAATAAATAAATTTGGAATATTTTCGTTTTGTTTCTTTTTTGAAAATACGTAAGCGAAAAGTGTACTATTTGTTTAAATTTAATCATCTAGATAGCTTTTTAATTTCAAAATGCATATTATTTGAAACAACATCATACATGTATTTAAATAAGTTTTATTACACTCAAGGAAAGTGGACGTAAAGAAGCTTCTCTTGAAAACTATGTTTGAAATTTTTGAAAGAAACAGCTATCAAAGTTTTTGAAACATATTTCCCCTTCAAATAAGTAAATCGAACAGAAATAGAGCAATTATTTTTTATTTGGTTGAATTTCAACACATTGAAGATCAGTAAGGCTAGATAATGTTGTTCCATGCGATTTCATGTGAATACTGAGTCCAGCATGCTGTGCAAAACGTTTTGCACAAATTTTACAGGAATATTTTTTTTCTGTACTATGAATTAACTTGTGCTGTCGTAAATGCTTGCGTGTTGAAAATCCCTTGCTGCAGACGTTACAAATTTTATCTCGTATTTTTAAATGTTGATTCATATGTTCTTTCAATGTAGAACTCGTATAAAAAGGTTTATCACATAGTTCGCAATGGAAACGCGGTCGATTTTCATGACGACGCATGTGAATGCTAAATAAAGAAGATGTTTGAAACCTTTTACCACAGACATCACAGAAAAAGGGTTTGTCCCCGGTATGTGTTCTCATATGAATTCCTAAATCTCCAGAGGTTACACAAGGCTTTTCGCAAACTTGACATTTATATAAGTATTCTTTAGTGTGCCTACGCAAATGTACAGTTAAATTGTTCGTTTGTTTAAATTCACGTCCACATATTGAACATTTATATGGTAAAGAGCCATTGTGAGATGATAAATGAGTTCTGTATTGCGCTAAACTAGGAAGTATTTCTTCACATAAGGAACACTCAAATGGAGCAACATTTACCTCGATGAATTCAATGCTCTTATAGAAAGGACATTGTGATTTGTAAAGCGTTTTGTTTTGTTTGCAACGTATTTTGAACTTTTTTTCGTTTGAGCATATTTTTCGCAATTTAGATATTTCACATTCCAAATCAAATTGCGACAAACATAAACCAGATTTCGAATTAAAGTCTTTAAGTAAATTTTCCAACGCCTCACTTCTTCGATTACTGAATCTGTACATAATGTCATTTTCGTCCCAAAGACATGATACTTTTTTATACAAATCAGCCAATGTAATGTAATGTATATCAGCAAGAGCAGCAGTTGATAAAATGTCATTATTTTCCTCTTCTGCTTTGACCTACAAAAGTTGATAATAAGTTCAATTGTTCCAATGACTCAAGCACTAGTAGATATATTGTATACCTTTCGTTTTACTTTTGGTTGCTGTTGTTGCAATAGCTTATTTTCTTTTGTTCTATATGGTCTTTGCTTCAAGAATACTTTTAAATCTGTATACCAAGCAGGCAGGTATTCACGTCCGTTAGATTCATAAATCTTTCTACGAACGAGCTCAGTTTGTAGTTTATATCGTAGTTTTATTATTAACTTCCGTATACTTTCAATTTCATCTGGCATACCTACATCAGAAGCTATATTTTGGAAAAGTTTTTCTCTTTCCTTCGTTGACGGTTTTTTTAGTTTAATGTCCCAAAGGTTTTGATGTTGGGCAAAACTTGAAAATATTTCCTGCATCTTTGTATCTGAGAATATCGTTTTGACATCAATTTTCTGTAAAAACTTGTACTGTTTACTGTATATTTATATATCATAGTACAAACCTTCTGAATCTTCTCGTCTTCTTCCATTGTACTTGCAGTGTCATAGGTTCCTTTTGGATCTGTTTTTGCCTAAATGTGTGAGATATATAGATGTATACAAGGTCTTATACCTTATGTGCCGAATTTATTGTAATAGAATATTTAAGCTTACATCACTATTTTCATCGGCAATTGCCCACTCATTATACAACTCCTCTTGACTGTCCTCTGTGTCGAGACCTAATTCAACCCTCTCAAATTCTTTTAATTGTGAGAGATCACCTTCGTATTCCTAAGGATTTTTAAACAAATAATTATGTTATTAGAAATCAATCAAACCAAGCTTTATTTTACCTCAGAATCTTTACGGTTTTGGAATTGTTCGTAGTTAGCTTGACTTTCTTTTCTCAGCTTAAGTTCCGATAAGTGATCTTCATACATATGCCGCACAAAATTTTCCAATTTTACGAATGTGTATGAGCAATATACACAATTTAGAAAAAATTCTTGTTTATTCACTGAAAATTGTGTGGTAATTTCTCCACATTTTATTTCTTCTTTCTGTGAAATTAATTCCATTGTAGCTAATATCTGTATATCATTAATAATATAAATATTTTGAAAGGAAGTAACAGAGTTGAGGGAAAAACATTAAATTAACAATACTTAATATATAATAATTGTTTTTTTTTTGATATTACTTCATCGCTGCTTAGCCGTGCTATATAGCTATATCGCCGAAACCAATTCTATTATTTAGCTACAATTTTAGAAGCCTATGTAAACTTTTTTTAGGAAATTGGAGATGGTTTGATAGTTTCCGATGTTTGTTTTTTGACAGAAGTCGATTATCGATGTTGTATTATTTAGGGACCCCATTTGTCATTTTAGACAGCCACAAGTAACAAAAAACTACTTTTCACACATGCAAGCTCACTTTTTCACGCAAACATGTTTAGTTGAGCGCATTTCATTATTGACTTACTGCTATCCTAAAATTGGAGCGTTGAGCACTAAACAACAAAGATATAGTTAGATGTGAAGGATGAAGGTTTGAAAGAAATCAGAATGAACTGATGAAGAGGAATAATTTGAAAATGAAATGAAAAATAATCACTGAAAAGCTTATTCAACTGACACACTTTTGCTGACCGATTAAATACGTATTATCTTATTTGATATAAATGAAATTAATTTATTAAAGGTTCTAAAAGTAATGCGAACTTGAAGAGAAAGAGAAAACTCCAAAACGTAAGCGCTCTTATTTTGGGTAGCGGGCGTTGGCAGTCATTGGCGTAAGTAAACGCTACGCCAAACGCTCCAGTTTAGGTATGCCAGTAAGTAGTACTAAAGCGTCCTAAGTGTTGGAATCAATAAAGACTCATTACAATTTGTTTGACATTCTACTTCCCAAATTATTAGCAAACGATTCTTTATTGTTTCCTTTTTACTAACTTCCTGTTTTTTTTCTTTTTAATATTTTTCAAAATATGTTTTTATGTTTGGTTTCCTAGTATAAATGTACACAGATCCGGTAAGACTTATCAACGAAAACACTAAGGCCGCTTTCGCAAAAGTTGGTGCGAAAATTCTTGAATTTACTAACAACGAAACGTTTTCGACTTCAAATACGTGTCGAATTACTTACTTCGCCAAAAGTGGGTTATTTATTCTCACTTACTATGGGAGTTATGACCAAATCGTGGTCTCCTCTAATTTTTATTGGAAATTCAACGAAAGCAGCTAACAAATTAAAACAAAAAAGTGAAAACCATAAAAGATGTTCATTTTAGAGTTTAATTTTTTTTGCGACCAAACATTATTTGTATATTGAAAAGAAAAAATAAAAAATATTAAAAAAGTTATAATGTTTAGCTAAACAGAAATCTGTCAATTAATTGCCCTGTTAATGGGGTAATTGAGTCAACAATCAATGTAATTAACGATGCCATAAGCTGTGTTGCTTGAGAAATGTCAGTAAAAAAGAAGGAAGTAACGAAATCAAGAGAGTAAGGTGAAGAAAGAAATTTTCTGAGTTGTACCGAACAGGATTCAGTAAAAGTTAGCCAGCAAGTTGTATGACAGGCTGTCATTAGATTTATAGTTGTAACCGTAGAGCTATATAATTATTAACATACTTATCGACTATTTTGTATCTTCGATTCCCCATTGGTCGTTAATTAATATTTTTTATACTATTGTTTACAGTTTAAGCTTCATTTCTAGTATAATAATTGTGAGTGAGAATCATGGATGTTGAGATTATTAGTGAAAAAATTGAATGCAGTGACTTAAAGAAATGCGGTGAAATAGCTACTTTGCTATCAGTTGGGAAACCAGAATTTTTTCTGAATTGTGGTTTTTGCGAATACACTTTTCTACAACTGGATAACTTCATCGCCCATATGTACAATGATCACATAACTGAGTTTCCTGCAACTGAACTAAAAAAAGAAACAACAGAAGAAGATGAAATGTTGAATGAATGCTCCACAGACACTTTGGAATCTGTTGCAGTAAGTAAGGGACATTTATAAACTATATACAAATGTTTAAAAACAAAATCACGTTTGCAGCAAGAGGAATATTTAAAAGAATTTGAAAGAGTCGAAATAGAATTGGACACATCTGACGCTAATATTTTAAATGATAACAAAGAATGTTTGTCTAAGGAATTTGACGAGCAAGAAAATGTAAGTGCACCTGCATTTTTTTTTTTCAAACTATACACGCTTAGTTAATAATAAACACCATATTACATGTACTGTACAGGAAAGTAAAGCTACATTAACGGGACGTATCCAGAGGAATCAAAATTTTCAGCTTAATTTAAATAGAGGCGATGAAATTGAAAGTAGTGAGAAAGAGTACAAACGCCCTCAAGAACAAAGTATGAGAAAAAGACCATCTAAAATTTCTCATAACCGAAGAAATGCAATAAGAGAAAAATATAAATTAAATAAGGATGAGCTTGAAAGTCAAAGGGATTTGGAAATGGAAATTTCCGAAGAAGTTATCGACACAAAAAAATATCGTAATGAAAGTGATTTAGATGACACAAAGGTAGGTATAGAAGAAACTATATTTTTATATTTTCGTCTCTCTTGCATTATATCTTCTTTACCTTCAGCCAGTATGTTTTCCGCATTTCTACTTAAAAAATTATTATTCATATTAACAACTAGTTTGCGTTTAAAATTGTGCATAAATATTTTTCAACGATCTTACCGGTTAACGACGCAGTACCACTTCTTTTCTATGACAGCTCCGTCTGACCTTAGAGAAGCATATTTAATATTTTTTTTTTATATTTTTCAATATATTTTTTATTGTGCGACCCTCTATGGGTGCAATGGCATTTTCTATTTCTCTAAATGGTTGCCATTTATACTTGACGACTGCCTAACTGCAAGGTGGTCAGTTGACATCAATTTTCAATCAGACTTTTGTCATATTTCTTAGTTGGGGCACCATTTTGGAATTAAAATTATCTTTTTGCCCAAGCGTAAACTTATCATATTCCTTTACAGCAAAACTGGTACTGCATATCTAATACAACGGAAATTTCGTTGAAGATATCAAAGCTCAAATAAGCATTAGCTCAAAAAATGAACGGTAAATGATCCATTACGACCCCTAACTTAGAATAGAACTCATGCATTCGTTCGACTTTGCATTCAAGTATTTCAGCATGTGTTATCAATAAATGAAAACTTTTTACATTAGTTAAATATGATAGATGTCCTGATGAAATTTATGTTAAATTGTAATATATATTATTATCCATAGATGTCCAACAATTATGATGAAACAGATGATGATGATTTCTTACAAGATTTCGATGAGAGCGAAGATGTAGACGAACCACAGGTGAGTTTGTTATTCTTTTATAAGTATTAGGGAATAGGAGATGATCGATAAAGCGAATAGAACTAAAATGATAAATTACATATATTTAGAATAAACTGGGTACAGAAATTTCAGTTATATAATTATGTGCATACATAATATATTGCATTTGAAAACTCCATTAATTTTTTGCCATCGAAAACCAATTTACATGGCACATACATACATATGTTTCAAAAGTGATAAATTGAATGCTTACCTTTCAGTAACTTTATCACAAATGATTCTCTTTCAGACCAAATCAAAAATGAAGACCCAGAAAAGAATAGCAGACAGTGTTTTAGATGACAAACAGTTTCTGATTTTAACTGAAATTTATAAATCATATACTTGCCTTTGGAATGAAGTGGACATCGCATATCGATTTAAAAACAGACGCGAAGAAGCAATAAAATCACTACATGAAGAATTTAATAGTAAATCTGGTTTAAGCTTATTGCAAAAGGACGTGGAACGTGAAATTGCATTATTGCGAGAAATTTGTTCAATCGAAAAGAAAGAAAAATTAAATAGTAAACGACATAACGTGAAATATCGACCGAAGTGTCCATTTTATAAGAACATTGCCTATATCGAAGTGGATGTTTCTCCTTTCGAATGTTCGATATGCGGTAAACGACTACCTGCTTTAGGTCATTATAAAACACACGTGGCGTCTCATGATGGTTCCTTACCATTTAAATGTCATCTCTGCGGTCATGGTTTTCAAGTGGGGGCAAACTTAACGGTTCATTTGCGAAGGCATGTACAAGATTACATATATAAATGTGAGATTTGTAATAAACCCTGTGCAACGACGACTGAGTTAAAAATCCATATGCGTTCACATACCGGCGAGAAGCCATTTATTTGCTCTGTTTGTGGTCAAAAACATGGAACATCCTCCCATCTATTAGTACACATGCTGCGACACAATAATAAACGTCCTCACAAGTGTAAAATTTGTTCAAAAGCTTTTTTTGAAAGTGGCACTTTAAAAGAGCATATGATGGTGCACACGAAAATTCGAAATATTATATGTGATATTTGCCACAAAGGATTCAAAAGTAAAACTCATCTTTACCAGCATAAACTTATCCATAACAAAGAAAAGAGATATGAATGTAATATATGTAAAAAACGTTTTGCCCAACCAGCTGGTCTTTCGGGTCATATGAAGACGCATGGCACAAAATTGTCAGCGAATGTTTCTAAAATTAACACTGAAATGAATAAATAAAATAAAATTGGAATTTATATTAAATCAAAAGTATGAGAGAAAAGAAATTTTCAACGGTAGAAACTGAAATTTGTATGCCCAGTTCTATTTTTTAAATATATATATTATATTGTTGTTTGTTAAAATAGTTTTATGTAGATACTCGTAATTATTTCTACGAATTCCTGTAACAACTGCTATAATCACGGTTGGGATAACTTTGTAATAATATATGAAAATTTTTATTTTGGGAAGCCGGCTTTTGCAATGATAGTCTAATTGGTAAATTAGAGATTACGTTTTCTTGATCTGTTTCAGTAATAGGACCTCTCTTTCCTGCTGTGTGACTTGTTGTTTCATTTGTGTATTACAGGTGTTTTTATTGTTTATTCATGATTCACTAGCCCCGCTTAGGGGCAGGCTAGTTAGTCTGAATCACCGAGGTCATTTAATGGGAGGTCCAAGAAATCAGCTGTTCCGAGCTAATCAGAGGGAAAGGGGGTTAGATGTGTCGGTCTTGGGAGGCATGTAAAGGTGTGGTTGTTGTGCGGGGACATACGTTGGTTATGTTTGGGTCGACTCCGGATAAGTTATAGTTGAGCTGCTTCTATATCCAGGCCTCAGTTGCGCCGGTATTAAACTCGTACGACAGCCGGCTCTATGCACCGCAGCTGACCCGGATTGTATTCGGCCAAGGGCTGTCATCCATCCCCGTCTAGGTCAAAAGATATATTATAGGTTGTTGTTGTTGTAACCGCAAAAATATTCCCTAAATTAGTTTTTGGGGAATGTTGCGGGAGTGACAGTCCTTGGCCAAATAAAAATCTGGGTCGTTCCGGTATAAAGACCCGACTTTCGCGGGACCTAATGGATTTGAGCTGCATTTTGCGACAGGCATGCCTTACCACAAGTAAATTCTTGAACTCTTCACCGGCAGGGTATGTTCTCAATCCAATATTTTCTTGCGTGACAAATGAGATAGAGTCGTTGATGGCACAGTGAATGGCATACTTGGAGAAAAACCACCACCTATAGCAGACAACGAGCTCGAGCTACCTCGAGAGACCCGCGTGACCCTGACACAACTTAGGTCTGGATATTGTAGCAGGTTAAACTCCTACCTATCCAGACTAGACCCCAGCATACCCAACGTATGCCCTGCATGTGGAGAGTCTCCGCAAGACACTAACCATCTCTTCGCATGCCCTCTCAAGCCAACTCATCTAACCCCCCTCTCCCTCTAGTCCAACCCCGTCGAAACAGCTCGTTTCCTGGACCTACCATTAGATGACCTCGGCGACTTAGACTGATCAAACCTATGCCTAAGCGGAGTTAGCGAACCGCTACAATAACAACATAGCCTATTTCAATTGGGCTGACGATATACATTTTAATTTTATTTGCCGATTTAAACGAAAGGGTGACAGCCTTTGCAAGATATTTGGCAAATTCCATATTCCATATGTTACTGAAACTTGGTAGAGAATTATACATATCTAGTTTTAATGTCTCGACCAATTGCCGGAGCTATACCATAATAAGAAGAGTTTTTTTGTTGCTGCTTTTTCTTTTTTTTTTGGAAAATTCTTGTCCTAAATGAATTTTTTTTCTTTCAGTCTAAATCCGCATCTTCGTTGACTGAGAAAACTAAAACCAACACTTTTGTAGCTTTAGAAGATTCACAATACCAACTTTTGGCCGAAATTTATGAGAAGCAAACCTGCCTTTGGGATGAGAAAGACATCGCATATCGATTTAAAAATAGGCGTGAAGATGCACTTAATCTCTTAAATGCGGAATTTAATGAAATAACTGAACTAAACTTAACCACAGCTGAAATGGAATCACACATTTTACATCTGAGAAAAATTTGTTCAGCCCAAAAGAAACAGAAAATCGTATGCGAAAGAAAGAATGTAAAATTTCAATCAAAGTGCTCGTTCTATAAGCATATAACCTATCTGCAAGTGGATGTACCTCCATTCGAATGTCGGATATGTAAAAAGCTAATGCGCTCAATAGGTCAATACAAAGTGCACTTTGCCGCTCATGATGGCTCCTTACCGTTTGTCTGTCATCTCTGTGGCCATGGTTTTCAGTTAGCATCTAATTTAACTGTGCATTTACGAAGACATGTGCAGGATTTTACGTACAGATGTGAGCAGTGCGATAAGCCTTGTGCGACGTCAACAGAATTAAAAATCCATATGCGTTCACATACCGGTGAGAAGCCTTTTGTTTGCTATATTTGCGGTCAGAAAGCGCGAACTTCATCACAACTATTAGTACACATATTGCGACACGAAAAGCGACCTCGTCATAAGTGTAAACTTTGCCCGAAAACCTTCTATGAAACCGGCACGTTAAATGAGCACATGAGTATACACAGAAATATTCGTGACGAAATATGTGAAGTGTGCGATAAAGGTTTTATCAACAAGAAACAACTACGCCAACACCAACTTATCCATAATTCAGAAAAAAAATATCCCTGCAAAATCTGCGGAAAGCGTTTTGCTCAATATGCGGGCCTTAGCGGACATATGAAAACCCATGGTACTAAGCTATCTGCTAAAGTTTCAGAAAACCTTACACCTTCTTAGGATCAACTTTAAAAAATGTTCGACACAATCATATAGGCGGTACAGCTGTAGACTTCGATCGGATACCATGCGAAAGAAGCCACTCAAATTATATTGATATGCAAGATTTTAGCATACAAAAGAAAAAACAAAGGCTTACAAAACGAACGGCTACGACGTGTTTGTGAGTTACACAAAGAATCCTATGAAATATGTAAATATTAAGCTTTAATTATTTAAATATAAGTTTTTAAAAGTATGTATGAATATATTGAACACATGTTGTTGTTGTTGCAGCGACTATCAACCTCTGCTTAGGGTCATGCAAAATCTAAGTCCAAGTCATCGAGTTCATTTAGCGGGAGATCCAGGAAACACTCTGTTTCGACGGTTTTCGACCAGAGAGTAAGGTGTGTTAGATGAGTTAGTTTCCCTTAGGAACAGCTAGTTAGTCCAAATCATGGAGGTCATCTAACGGTAGGTCGAGGAAACGAGCTGTTCCGATGGGCTCGGATCAAAGGCAAAAGAAAGATAGCTGTGTTGGTTTTAGGACAATGTATTTGGTATGTCGGGGTCGAGACTTGATAGGTAAGAGTTTAACTTGCTACAATATCCAGACCTAAGTAGCGCCAGTATTACGCGGGACCTTCGGTAGCATCCCTGAAGAAATTGCTGGTAGAGCAAGACTTTATGCTACTTAAGACGTAGCTAAGATGCTTCGCTGTGCAAGTGTTGCTCAGATGACATCAGAATGCTACCTGTCACGGTCCTGAGGTTGGTTGGTGTCGTGGATGGTGCCTTGCGTGTAAGGCATATGTCGGTTTCAAGTCTGGATGGTTCGGAATTCAGTCGATTACAGTATTCAAACCCTGGTTTGTAATAGGTGGTGGTGGTGTCTTTCAGTGCTTGCCAGCGGTTTGAAAATTTCGTTGCCCCTCTTTGCTTTAGGAGTAATTCTAGTCCCACGGCGGTATTAACCGTTGGAATAGATTTTCATATATAGTTCTAGCCTGCCTAGGGCTACCGAGGATATAGTTTGTTATAGTTGTAGCTTTCGTGCAGTGAAGAAGAAAAGGTTCACTTTCGAACAGACATTACCAATAGCCTGATCAGCCTTAATATAGAATTTAAGAAATCAATGTTAAACATATTAAAAAAAAAAAAAAAAAAAAAAAAATATTAAAATCAATACAATTACAATTAGAGCTGGAGCTGCTATTTTTAGACGTTCAACAGAAAGTTGTGTGTTTGTTTATTAATTAACCTAAATTCCCTTATACTCAACTTTGGATGTCCGCATTTTTTTATTTGGAATATTTCACATTGTATTTTTAAAAAAAAATTAAAAAAATTACTTGAATAGAGTATTATTTATACTACACATTTCCAATAAGACTTACGTTGCTATCGGTTACGCCTTTTCTGACTAAACCACGGATCATAGTACAAATTTGAAAATCGATTTTCAACTGCCACTTGACACTAACCAACTCTTTATATTAACCTTAAGTCCTACTCTTCTATCCCCCTTCGCTCTGGTCTGAACAGCTCGTTTCCTGGACCTCCCGTGGAATGACCTCGATAACTGATATAGCTTGCTCCTAAGCGGGATTGGACTAGCCATTACAACGTCAAAATCTAATGCATTTCATAAGAAGAGCGTCTGGCTAACTAATCAACAAATGTTAACATACTAGACATATGTATATTACTTATGTTACCGATTAAGCAACTAGAGATTAATTAGTACTTGGGTGTACTTTATAATTAAAAGTTTATTTTATAATAATAATTATTCTTAATACAGGCTGAGTGAAGTATAATTCATTTACATACATACATATACGTACAGTAAGTCAGTTTTACTTAAAAAAATAAAGTAATGTAGATCATACTTCCAACTGGTAAAATTAGGCAGGACTTATAAAAGATGCGATGAGCGGATTCAAGCTGTGCAACATCTTTCTATAATCTGTAATACATTTGCGCCAATTTTAGAAAAAATAGCCAAGTCTAAATCTACTATCTTTAAAAGTAAATTAACGTGTCGCTAGAACATTGTGTTTTTACTGAATATAATCGGTTCATTATGTATCTTGGCCCATGAAACTTCCTGAATTGTCACCGAAAAAGACATCTGAAAAATTTTCCAATTCCGCGGGAGTCTTTTTTGCAGATAACTTTGTGCCATGTGATTTCATATGACCACTGAGGCCGGCATACTGTGCAAAGCGTTTCTCGCAAATCTTACAGGCATATTTTTTTTCTGCATCATGTATTCGCTTGTGTTGTCTCAACTGCATGGGACTTTTAAATCCTTTATTGCATATATCGCATATATGATCTCTTGTTGATTGATGCACGCTCATGTGTTCTCTATATAAGCCTTTGGTATAAAAGCCTTTCGAACATATTTCACACCTATGTCGTGGTCGATTTTCGTGGCGACGCATGTGTGTGTTGAACTTCGATGCCGTTTGGAATTTATTACCGCATATATCGCAAACGTAAGGCCGCTCGCCTGTATGAAAACGCATATGAACTTTCAATTCTGTTGTAGTCGCGCAAGGTTTATTACAAATTTCACAACTGTAAGTATAATCGTGCACGTGGCGTCGTAAATGCACGGTTAAATTGGTTGCCAACTTAAAACCATGCCCACATATATGACATTTGAAAGGAAGTGAACCATCATGGGATGACAAATGTATTTTGTACAGACCTGATCCTGATATAATTTTTCCACAAATTGTACATTCGAATGGATTAACATCTACTTCCAGGAATGTAATGTAGTGGGAATATGGACTTATTGGCTTATAAACATTTTTATTTTGCTTACATAATATTTTTTCTTTCTTTTCATTCGAACAAATTTTTCGTAAACGTAATATCTCTCGTTCCAAGTCTTGTTTTCCCAAATCAAAACCAGTCTCACTTACAAATTCGTCATGTACATTTTTTAACGCTTCTCGTCGTCTATTACTGAAGCGATAAGCTATGTCATTTTCGTCCCAAAGACTTGGATATCTCTCATATATTTTAGCAAGAGTAATGAACTGTTCGTCATCTAAAACCGTTTCAGGTGGTGGTGGCTTCTTGATTACCAGCCTAGCATCATCCTGTATAAAAAATAAAAAATAAAAACTATTACATATGTATAAATTTTGTAATTTTGCGACTTAGGGTTTCCAAATTTGTTTTTCCCAACATTTATATTATATCCTATGAGCACACAGAGTTTAACCAGTACTAGAAAGCTCCAAGAAAACTTATATATACTTATATATAGGACAGCAGAGGGTCGCAGCGAGAGCGCCGATTGGAGCTTTCCTGAATATATACATTATTATACATATTAACACGCAACCGCCGAGGGCGGTCGCAATAGGCAAGTGGTTAGCATTGCGTACTGCCATTCTGATGGCCAGGGTTCAAACATTATCTGAAATTACAAAAAATAAAATTTTCTAACTGTGGTCTCCTGTCGTCAGGGTATAACAAGCTCCCAGAGAATGTATTCCTGACGAGAAATAAAAACTTGAAATAAACTATAGATCTTTCTAAATTTTTTGGGAGGAGCTCGAGCGAATATCGCTTCAGCGGTTACAAAGCGACAATTATATATGTATAATTATTTTGATTTGCCAAAATTTCTTAATGCAAACATATTTGTTGTGCTGTGTACAACGATGGAGCAAGACTAATGAATTCGCCAAGATATGGAATTTTAACAAATTTCAATATAAAAGTTATACGCTTTTAATAAATTATTAATAACTTAATCTATTCTGATTCCATCACCCTAACTCATGGTGGAAAAATTATAAAATACCCAGAAAAGCAAGTGCTGTAAAAACTCACCTCCAATTTTTCCAACTCCCGCCGTTCGTTATATTCCTTCCGCTTTTCATGGTCTAACAAAAAGGTCATTGCCTCAAAATAGTAGAGAGGTGATTTTTCGTTTGATATTTTTTTGGATTCGCGTCGAAAAGTTGTGCGCAATCTAAATATTTTTTGCCTAACATCATCTTTAGTGGAATTGGGATACTTCTCTTGATATTTTGCGAGCAATATATCATACTGTTGGTTTCGAACCATTCTATCTGTATATTCACGGCATTTAGGATCCCATAATGCCCTACAAGAGTGATATACCTCTATAAGTTCTATAATAAATTTTCGCTTCGCATTAATGTTTAGGGCTCTCTGTTTTTTAAGACTACCGGATGGCAAAAAAGAGCTTTCTGATAAATCATCTTCATTTATTTCATCGGGAGCTTCATAATCATCTTCTGAAATACCGGAACAGTATTCATCTTTATCAATGGACTCCTGTCATTAAGAAATTACACTTAGTAAAAAAACACTTAACATTTTTTGTTATGACTTACACTTTCCAAGCTGTCTTCCCTTACGAATTCCTTTGGTATAACCTCTTCCTTATTATCAATGTCCGCTGCATCCAACTCGATTTCAACTCTTTCAAAACTTCCCATGTCGAATTCACTTTTATTCACTTCCTGAAGAATAAAATGATTATATCAGGTATAATATATTTTATACATGTAAACATACCTCTAAATTTTTTCCATCTTGCAGACTAATGTCCGAGTGCTCCATTTCTTCATCCGTTCGTATGTATTCCTCATCCTCGAGTTCAATCTTTGGTGGACTTATTTCAATAATGTGGTCTTCGTACATGTGCTGCATGAAATTTTCTAACTGCAAAAATGAATAATCACAAAATTCGCAGTTCAAGAAAAACTCTTTCTTTCCCTCTGACAACATTGTTGTAATTTCGCCGCACTTCTTTAATTTATTGCATTCAATTATTTGCTTTTGTAGTCCCAACGCCATGTTACGGTCAGCATTGATAAAATAATTATTTTACTTTATAAAATTTAAAATGAAAACAATCGTGATAATCACTAGTAATCCGACATATGTATCGATAAGCCCAAGCTTACAAGGCTACGACTTGATTCGATTGTTTCAAGACGGTGCATACCAGCAAAATATTACACATGTGCTGTAACGAATCATTCATCTTACGGAATTTAAGGTTCCTTTTCACAATGTCCGATTTACTTAAACTGTGATCGGAGGACCACCACCAGATAGACTGATGTGAAACTTTCGTTTTCACTAAGTTCTGGTTAGATTATTGTGAATATTTTTTGGTAAATTCAGAAAAAAAAAAAAATGGGTCAAGAGACATAAAAACTGCATGACAACTAGTATTTGTTTACCTGTTTCTATACAAAATGGAGGGGAACTTAACGAGATTGTGCCAGGCTTGGAAACATTTTTCTTTGGGGGGCATCAGAGGAGGTCATACAGATTGTAAAAATGTATGCCGTTCTCCTAGGTAACCTTAAGTTTTCGAGTTTTTTGTGGTTCAGACAACTATTATTAAAAATAATGCTGTCATGTCCATAACCTGGTCACAAATGCCTCTACAGTAATGCACACTATTTACCAACCGACTGGCAGTCGCCATTTTTATTCCGCCTATACCATCAATACAAATTAAAAAACTTCTTATTAGCAAAAATTTCGCAACTATATCTCTGAAAAATCAAATGAATTGTCAACAATATTTATTTGCAAAACGAATTGTTTTCACAAGCTCTCAGTGACGGAAAGTACTTTTCAAATTTTCCTTAGAAAATTATTTTCTCTTGGGGGTGATACACATACTAATAATGTATGCCGTTCATGAAAAAACATTTGCAAAAAGAATATTACGTATACACACATCTATATTTTGCGCGTTGTAACCGCTGAAGCGATTTTCTTCCGAGCTCCTCCTCAAATTTGTGGCTTTGCTTCTTGATATATTCCCAACAAATGTAGAGACCTAAATTTATACTAAGCCGCCTCCGAACGGCTGATGTTTTTTATGAGGAGCTTTATATCATATTAGATATACACTCGGAGGGGTTGACATTCCCTGCCGAGGGGCCACCGTAATTAGAAAATTTAACTTAATTTAAATTAATTTTCTACAACTTTTGGATGTTGGTCGCACCATGATTTGAACCCGAACCTTCTGAATGACAGTATGCAATGCTAACCTCTCGGCTACTGCGGCCGCCATAGATAGATTATTTTGAGTACAATATAAAAATTGTATTTTATAATTCGGTATTGTCCACAAACCAAGTTGTCAGATATTAGGTTTTCGAGACCCCTAAATAAATGAATATTTCATTTCGAATAAATAATATATTTGTATTATAAATAAATTTCTAATATTTACATTATTCGAATTAATAAATAAATGATTTATAACATTTGACTAAATAATTGTTTATAACTGAAGAGAACTTCGTATCTCTCTTATCATAGTCTTTCTGAAATAGGGTTGTGTGCCGGTCAGTACCTTTTTTCCTGTGGTGAGATTAGGTGTGAAAAATTTTACAATTTGCATGTTCTATATGAAATTGTAGATTTTGACGCATACAAAATGAAAACTTGCGAGGAAGTCGCATATATATTTGCGCACTGTTAAAAAACAAAGAAAGTATTTTTCTTTACTAATGATAATATTTGTGGACTCAGAAGTAAATCATTCAATAAAAGAATTTCTGTTAATTCAGTGTTTTAGACAACAGGCTAGTCGCCAGGTAATACTTGTGTCAAAACCATTATGATCGGTGATGAAAGGAAAACTCGGATAAGTTTAAAAATCTCATCCAGCAAGTTCACAAAAATTGTCCAATTAATTCCCAAAAAACATCACGGAGGGTCATGCGAAAATGAACACGAAAAATATTAGAATTTCAATGTTGGCTGTCAAAATTTACAATTTTCAAAAGATTGGCACATAGCCTATTACTACGAATATGCTTAATTTCTACGTTGGTTTACTCTGCTCGGGTTAAGCGTACAAGCATAAACGCCAAAGGTTCTATTCGAGTTAAATTCTGAATGAAATTAACATCAGGAATGCCAAGTCCAGCTTTGCTAATTTTTGGTACAATTTTAGGTAAACCCTTATATTCTTGGCAAAAAGTTAGTAACACTGAAACTCTGTATCACCTAGGTTAAATGCAAATCAGCTGACTTCAACCCAAACCCGCTTTTTTTTAAGAAATAAGAGACTGTTTCACCACTACCGCCAGAAATTAACTTTGTTTGTCAACATTTCTGAGCAAGATAATTATAAATTAATAAAAAAAATTGTCTCCCAAATATCGTTCTTCTGTAAATAATTTCTCAGTCTCTGATGTTCGCTGTTAACTAGCGGTTAAATAGTCTCTTACTAATATCGTGTAGAGGTGAAATAGTCCCTTAACAATCCCGTAGGTGGAACAAATGACAATCGGTACGCCCCGGTCCTTTTATTTAATATACTGTTACGATTTTGCTAAATCAACCTCGATGATTTTCTGAATCATTCGGGTACGATCTCTGGATTGTTAAATAAAGCTCGCCAACTTAATTTCAGATAGCGAAGAACTCGAGTATTCTACGCTTTCGTCTGGGAGCAGCCGACTGCTATATAAGGGCGATACTCAGCTGCCAGGTCAAGTTAGTTACAAAGTGAACTCGTTGGCGTTAACATCAGTAAAGTCGTAAGGTAAACACGTTGGAGATTACATTTAAGTAGAGTAAATTGTGAAAGTTGATGATAGTGATTGTAAATAGTAAAGTGCATTGTAATTAAATTGTGAATTACGGAGTAAATAAAGGACATTAGATAAATTCTTTATAACGAAAGAAACTTCACATTAAGTTGGCGAGTTTTATTTAACAATCCAGAGATCGTACCCGAAGGATTCAGAAAATCGTCGAGGTTGATTAAGCAAAATCGTAACAATACGTTCTCTGTGTATACCTCATAAACTGCTATGAGGTACTGTTATCGGCATCTTCTTTTCATCTGTCATACACTTTTGACATTTTCGTCATAATATTATGAATGAATTTGCTTACAAAATTTCTGGCAATTAAATATTAATTTAAGATACAATGGAAGCTGAATTCAAGAATGGCAAAGTAGAGTACAGTGATTTGAAGAAATGTGGGGAAATCACCACGCTGTTAACAGTGGGAAAGAAAGAGTTTTTCTTAAATTGCAACTATTGTGATTTTACTTATTTACAATTAAATGAATTTATACAACATGTGTGCGAAGTGCATTTTAATCAATTTTTAAATTTGGAGGGAAATTCAAAGGAGTTTTCAAAAACGTGCTCAACTTGGAAACACAAAGATTCAAATGATAAATTTGGAAACTCATTTGTGGTATGTACATATACATATTGAAATTACTTTAGAATTTTAAAGAAACGCATATAGTTACACCTTTGCTTCAGAAAAACGAGGACAATCATTTATTTATAAACAGCTTTGAAAGTGTTGAAATTGAGAGGGATATAAGAAAATATAAGAAGGAAGCAGAAGAAAACGAAGAGGGGAAGAGTGTAAGTAGAGATTTATTTAAAAAAAAAATTCATTTCAAATTTATAACATTTGTAGAATTTACAGCACATAATAGACGAGAAGGATACAATTTTAGAATTAACAGAAATAAGCAAAATTGACACCCATCGCGAGACTTCGGAGGAAATAGATGACAATAATTTTGAAGATTTTCACGAACTTTCGCAGGAGACCTTCGAAGAAGACGAGGAAATAGAATTTTTTGCAGCTCAAAATGATAATGAAAGTGAAGACGAAAAATCTTCGAGTAAGATGTTTCATATCTGCAATGCACAATTAGATGTACTCGAAAATGGAAGAAATAAGGCACTACTTGCACAAAGGCATGCAAAGAAAAAGTTTGTTATTGAGCTAATTGAAGTATACCGTAATTTGCCATCATTATGGGACACAAATTCTGAAGTTTACTTTGATCGAAAACTAAAAAAACAGCAGTATGAGATTTTGCTCCAAAAGTATAAAGAAAAGTATCCAAATGCCACAAAAGATAAGGTTAAAGGAAAGATTCAGGCACTTCGGGCAAATTTTAGACGAGAAATAAAGTTGATGTCAGCATCTGGAGCTTCAACTTTATATTATTTTGATGCAATGAAATTTTTACTTAACCTAAAACACTTTGCTGTAAGAAACAGTAACGAGGCAAAGGTTAGTTTACATATGAAATAATATATCAAAAAATAATTTATCTTGAATAACACTTCGATCTAATTTTTCTCATACGAAACTTTTCTTTAATAACGGTAAAATCTAAGAAAATTAAGAATTTACTTTAACTTTAATACAATAATGTCCTAAATATTTTTTTCATTTATTTAGTAGGGGTATATGTTGCTTTATAAAAAATTCTATTGATAATTCAAAATACTAGTTACAAGTAAAACATTATCACATTACCTCCACAGGACGAAAAATTCACTGCAACAGGCAGCATTCTAAATGATACACAATCAATAAAATTGGCCGTGTTGTATAAAAAGTACAAATGCCTTTGGGATGAAAAAGAGATTTCGTACAGATTTGCCAATAGACGTCGGGAAGCATTAGAAAATATACTTGAGGAATATAACACAACATGTGGCCTATCATTGACAAAAAATGATTTGGATAAGGAAATCATAAAATTGAGGAAAATTTGTACAAATGAGAAGAGGCATAAAATAGCATGTAAACGAAGTAACAAGGTTTATAAACCAATGTGTCCCTATTATCAGCATTTAGAATATTTGGAGGTAGATGTTCACCCTTATGAATGCAATTTTTGCGATAAAGTGATATATGGAATTTGCCAGTATAAAATACATTTAGCCTCTCATGATGGTTCCTTACCATTCAAATGTAATGTATGTGGCAATGGTTTTAAATTAGCCACTAACTTGACTGTACATTTACGGAGACATGTGCAGGATTATACATACAGTTGTGAATTTTGCAAAAAGACTTGTGCAACCACTACAGAATTAAGAAATCATGAGCGTATGCATACCGGCGAGAAGCCTTTTGTTTGTGATACTTGCGGTAAAACACTATCAACATATTCCGAATTTAAACGACATGACCAGCGACATGGAAACCAACCGACCCATAAATGTGAAATTTGTTCAAAAATGTTCTATGAGAAAAGAAAATTGAAGGAACATATGTACTCACATCGTAATGTACGTGATAGTATATGTGATGTGTGCAACAAGGGATTTGTAAGCGTAAAGCAGCTACGTCAACATAAGCTCATTCATAACGAAGAAAAGAAATATTTGTGTAAAATTTGTGGGAAACGTTTCGCACAGTATGCGGGTCTCAGTTCACATATGAAAACACATGGTACAAAGCTAACCGGTAATTCTTTCAAAAACTTTGATAGATAATAGTTCAATTCAATCGATTTACCAAGCTCGTCGAGAAGCATGTACAACAACAACAACAACAACAACAATAAACACAGCAACACCTTACACTAACTTTGACAAGCAGTAAGAGAAACCTTGGTTCTCTATTTAAAACCTCAATGAGTTAGTGAAAACTCATAGTTCCTAAAAGTATAATATACATGTATCACTAAAATGTTATTGAAAATATAAAAATGATTATAATTTTGAATAGAAAGGCTGTTGGTTTAATTTAAATACTTTAATTAATTTTAGAGCCTTTCATTATTGAACTCCATCGCATTCTACAAAGATTATGTGAAAGCTTGCAGATGACACGTATGTATGGCTTTCCGACGTGATTTATTTTATACATTTACTTTAAATCTTTTTTTCTTGGTCATAATTAGGTTTACTCGTTTTTAAAACATTACAGAAAATCCGTTTGATATTGTTTAATCTCTTTATTCAAAAATCGGATAACAGAAAATTGTCAGTCGAGTTCGTTACTTTGATTATTAGGCGACATTGTGTAGAGGTGTGTGAGATACATGAATGCTTCTGTTGTTGTTGCAACGGTTTTTGATTTTCATACTACCTCTTCTTTTCTTAGCATTTCGTTTCTCATTTCATTTCTCTCTATATTTATGCAACAAAATATCACGTTTTTTCGCCTTATTTGTTTACTTTTATTATGTCTATGTTTAATATATCGAATAGCGCTGGTAAAGATTTGTATACTTTAATAAGCTCAATAATAAATTATCTTTTACTTGAGGTCATTCCTTTTAATCTCTTACTGCATTCTTGCGTTCTATATTCATGAACCAATGTCGTATTGACCTTAGAATTCCCAAACACTCATATGTAATAGATTCCCAACTGGCACTCGAAGGTTTCCTGTGGTTTTGAAACTCTGTATTTCATTAATTATAATTGACTTAATTTTATAGTTAAAACAATAACAATATTATAGTATAATATTCTTACTTACCTCGTTCACTTCACTGATATATTCGCTCGAAATATCTTCTTCCTTCATATTTAGGGTAGAAACGATTTCTTCGGATTTTAACTGTATTTCGACTTTTCCAAAATCTTTCAAAACAGAACTCTTGTCATCAATTTTCTGTGGAAGGGGTGTAATAAACTGTTTTGCTTAACTTTTGATTTAAAGTAATTTGGTTTATTACCTCAATGAGACTTTCCTATAATTGTTCGAATGCCGTGATTTCTAAAGGATTTTTAAGGTCTGTATAGCCTTGCTCTGGGGGCAATTGCGTAATATGATTTATTTGATATACGATTACGGCATATATACATACTTTTTTCAATTCAAGCTGAACTTTTTTCGAAACACGTCAGTCATGTTGGTTTTTTTTTTTTGTAAAACTAATTAACACGAAAAAGATTGCTTGTATGAAAAAGTAAAATAATTTGTTTATTTATTTTTTTTTTTTGTTTTAGCTCACTGTCGCGTTTCCCGGTGGATATTATCTTTAATTCCCGGCGGACTGAATAATTTTTTTAGTAATGAGACATTTACTTAGCTTTGTTATTAAAAGTTAATAGTCTTTCTTTTGTCGATTGTTGCAGTTCACATGCTGTCCGCAATCGGTCCTTCTCGTTATTTGACGTTCTCTGTCCCAACTCCCAAGACATCCGGTTCAATGCACCTGAGTTGACCCAGATTTTATCCTGTCAAGAGCAGTCACCCTTTCGGCGACCTTATCCCGTTTAAGTCGGCAGTTAACATTAGTCTAAGTACATCAACTGGGCAACACCATCGGCTATTTAAATACTTCCAATCAGTAGGGGAATCCTCTATCGTGTAGTATAACCAGAGAACGTACAACAGAGAACTTATAACCAGATACTAATAGATATACTAATAGTATAGAGGTGAAATAGTCTCTTAGTAATCCCGTAGGGGGAGCAAATGGCAATCGGCTCGCCCCGGTCTTTCTCTTTAATTTACGTTCTCTGGTATAAGGCTTTTCGGATCGCAAAAATTGCGACAATTCTAACGATTATAATATTCGGTGTACTTACGTGTATTTTAACAAATCGCTAACTAAGAGACGAATATTTTTAAGTTGTTAGCGATATCGACAAAATATTGTTATTTCAATAAGGTATTGCCTAAGTTATATAGAAATACATATAAAATAATAAACAAAAATGATTTTTGAGTATTTGGAAAACGTTACAAAGGGTGATTTTTTAAGAGCTGTAGGAAAGTTAAAAAAAAAACACATAACATTCAGAAAAATGCATGAAATCTATATTTGAATTTATTGTTTGAGGATTATTTCATGCAAATTTCGACCGTGTCTGCGCCTCAAATGGTCCATCTGCTTAGTCCAATTTCGGCATACTCTTCCCAACATTTCGGCAGGGATCTCACGAATAAATGCTTCAATGTTGTCCTCCAATGCGTCAATCGAAACGGGTTTATCTGTATAGACATTAGATTTAACATAGCCCCACAAAAAAAAAATCTAAAGGCGTTAAATCTAGGCGGCCAATTGACCGGTCCCGAACGTGAAATAAAATGTTCACGGAACTCGCCTCTCACTAAGTCCATTGTGACGCGTGCTATGTGGTATGTGGCGCTTACTATTCCCAGGTTACGCTACGATTCGCATCATCTTTGAAGACGTACAGTACAATGATGCCACCGGCCTATAAACCGCACCAAACTGTGACTTTTTCTGGATGCATCGGTAGCTCTTACGATGCTTCTGGCTGATCTTCACTCTAAAATCTAAGCGCGTGCGCAAGATGAACTTTCTTAACAAAACACAATAACACGACAATAATTTTCTAGCGTTGTTCGCTTGTAAGACGAATCATGGTTAAATTATAGGCCAAACTGAAGATGTTTCAAGTTTGACATGAAACGTACGTCAGCTGTTCAAACCAGTGTTGCCAAAAAGAAAATAGCTAAAAAATCACCCTTTAGTATATACCAAGATGAGTAGGTATTGTACCCTACAGCATTGATAGAAGTTTGCTTCGAGAAGTTGAAGACCGTTTGCACTTGAATGCATTTGAGTTTCTTGATAAAAGGTAGAAAAATAACAGCATCTACGGATACTTGCCCTGACCACTATTAATTCGCACGGCTAGTGTTTTTACGCATATGCAATGTTTAGCACACAATACGAGTATATGTGAAGATAATGCAGATAACACATACAAACCTATATTTTTCTGAAAGATAATTTTATTCTCTATATGATAGAAAAAATTTTTTGTTGTTATTTAACGTACAACAACAACAGCATTTATTTAAATACACTATTCTTATTATTGCTTACAAACGCTTGACCACTATTATTTCGTACGCTACAAACTTTACAGTCTATTTGGCTTAATATAATATATATACTTAATATTACGAGTAATACTTGGTAACATCACCCTTAGCCTCTATAACACATTTACAACGATCCTGCATTGAATTAAGCAGGTATTGCTCTGTTGAAATAAAGTCCCATGTTTCTTGCATGCTATTGTTGTTGTACGCTAAACAACAACAAAAATTTTTTTTCTATATTTGGAGGCCTTCTACAGAGCTAAGAGTCATGAAGCGTAGTTTAGGAAGTGGAAGCTAAACATGATTTTGATTTAATAAACTTTGTAATGCTCTGCAATTTATTTATTGAAAATAATTTCTATAACGAATTTATTTGTTTTTGTCATTCATTTTTGTGCTTTTCGCATATTTTGACGTTTTGTTAAGCTGTGGAGGTGGCTACATTTCCTCCATTCTATGGAAATGTCCGTTGTCGATTATCGCCAAATCTGAGCTGGAGAGTCGCATAATCGTTAGTTAAAGCGACAAAATTCGCAAACTTGTAATCCGACAAATCGTGCCAATAAAAGCTACGGAATTGACCCCTGACCCGACAGCTTTAGAATTATGTCCCACTTTCATTGCGAATTGTATCTAAACGCGAAGACCGATGAAATTCAATCTTTGTTTTATTTATTTATTGGCTGTAGTTCCTCTACAGTAGTCTCTTACATTTTCATATTTTTCCTATTTACGTTGTACTTCTTTCGCTAAGCCCCTAGAATTTAATAAATTTATGTTGGACAAGAAGCACAATAAAATAAACTATCACTAAATTTTGAAATTTTCATTTGTTGTATATTTAAAAACGTCCCACCTGTATGAACAACTTTAATATGGAATACATGTACGAGGTGTGTTCAAAAAGTATCGCGAATTTTGAATTTTCGGGGGTTTACGTATAATCGAATTTCGATTCTTTTGTGGCGTTATGTTAGTACTCATGTCTGTCACTTATGCCGACAAGCTCGGCCATTTTGAATGTTCACTTAATTGTTAACAGCTGCTTTGCTTGCACGTGTTTTGGATGGTCTTCGATTTTTACCTATTCAGAAGAATGGATCAAAGAACCTGTATCAAATTTTGTGTGAAAAACGAAATTAAGTACGCGTATGCAATCCAAATGTTGCCTGTGGCATACGGAGAAGTTACCATGGACCGACGCAACGTTTATCGGTGGTACAAAATGTTCTCAGAAGGCCGAGAAGATGTGAACGGCGAAGGGCGTGCTGGACGCCCGAGCACTTCAACAACAGACGAAAAAGTTAATTTTTTCTTGTTCCCTAAATTGAAGAGGCCCATGAAAGGACGACGTTACGCTACGATTGACGAGATAAAGATGGCATAGAAGGACGAGCTGAACAAGATAAAAAATGATTTTTTGAAGGGGACAAAATAGATATTCATGAATAAATAAATAATTTTTGAAAAAATACAAAATTCGCGATATTTTTAGAGCACACCTCGTATACTTTCAAGTCGGTAAAAATTTTTTAATTTTTTTGATTAAGGTGAATTTTTTGTATTTTTATATTTACCATTTAAAGAGACACACTACTATTAATTTTGAGTACTTATTTTCTTAAATATTTGTCTATTTTGAGCAAAATAGGTATTTTTAAGAGCTTCTGTAGAGTATATGAGCAACCCGAGAAGCGGCGTTTTATTCATTGACTTTCGAATGGGTAGGTGGGAAGGTCAATTTTAATGTATTCTGTCAATGATCTTACAGATTAGAAGTACAAATTAATTATAGACTTAAAACTGTAAATGTATACTAAGAATAAAAAGTATTAAGGTTAGAGCCAAATCGAGATCTCGAAAATTCGAAATCAAGATCAAGTCTTCTAAAGATTCTATTAAATTCAAAGAGTGCTCTAACAATAGAATCCTAGTTATGATAATTGGCTTTAATTACATTTAAATAGAACGGATAATGAGAGCTCAAAGTTCTATGAGGAACATTAAATAAAGCAAGTTTGCTGAAGCAGCTCTGGACAGACCATTGAGCCATTGATGATGTCATAAATAGATAGTAAAGACTGGATAGATCATCGAAGAGCAAGAGATTTCAGATTTATTAGCATACATCGAGAAGTATAAGAAGGTAAGGGATCAGAGAAATGGAGCGGAGCAAGAGCGAAACGAATAAACCTACGTTGGACGATGTATAGAAATGCGTAGGATAAATTGGATTCCAAATTAATCTAGCATACTTCAGCCTTAAACGAACCAAAGCGTAATATACAATTTTATATAATAATATTTATAAAAAGAAGATATAATAATGGACCAAAAATGCTACCTTTAGGTACCCCAGAGGTGTCCTCAAAGGCATAAGATCTCGTATTATCCAATTCTACAAAAGAGAATCTATCGGAGAGATATGATCTAAGCCAAGATAGAAACGAAGAGTGAAAACCTTGGCATTCTAGCTTAAGCAATAAAAAGCTTTGGAAAAGTCGTTGTAGACGACATCAACTTGATATCCCTTCTTAAAAGATGCTATGCAATAACGAAAAAGATAGGCTTAGGGATAGTAGAACGACCGTTCAAAACCATGCTGATGCTGGCTAATGGAGCCTTTAACCGGAAAAACAGTTTTCCTTTAAGACTTTCTCGAGAAGTTTCGATTGAGTCGATAATTTAGATATAGACCTATAATTTTTAATATCAATTTTGTTACCAGACTTAAACAATGGAGAGATAGAATCAATTTTCCAACGATTAATGAAAACACCAGACGACAACGAAAGATTAAAAAGGTATTTCAAGGGAGCGGAAATAGACGAACTGCACATTTTACATACATAAGAAAAAAGCCCGTCCAAATCGCCACTCAAAGAGAGCTGCAAAGCAGCAATTCCATTCAAAACATCCAACTCAGTGACTAAAAGACTACCAAAATCTAAAATGTGCGAAATTTCCAAGTCATTACAGACGAAAAATTCTCATAATAGTTAGATTTGAAAAATTCAGCGAAGAGATTTACGGTATCCAAAGTGCTTTCAGAACCCCTCCCACAGTAGGACCTTTTTAGGGCGGATATTAATATTTTTTTTGATTCATTTTTAGCTCTTCCTCAAATCGCCAATTGAAAAGAAGAAACTTGTCGAGCACGTTAAAAGTTTTCATACGATGAGTATATTTAACCTTATATAGGAGATCATTGCTGACCTAAAAATATAAGTTATAAAATTTGTTTCTAAGGTTTTTTTCACTTTTTAAACGCTTAGTATACCACGAAAGTTTATGCGAACGAGGGGGAAAAAGAAACATAGCTAGAAAATTGATAATTCAGTTTGGAAAAGAAGCTTTCATAGCACTCCGTCACATTTTTAGATGTCCAGAATACCTGCATCAAAGCTGTTAAATTGGTGTTACGAAAATTATATTGTTTAATAGTATTGGTGCCTGGAACGGAGAAAAAATTAGAAAAATTTAGACTAAGGGACAGCGGGAATTGAAAACTGGGAAAGCACATTCTATAATATCAAAGATTAAATTTTCTTCTTTTTGCCTTTTGGCGCCAATTGGAAATACCAAGTACAACCAACCGAGTGGAGGTCTTCTTCATCCTCTGCTTCTGGGTACTGCATCGAGAATTTTCAAAGCTGGAGTATTCGTATCCATCCGGACCGCATGACCTAGCCAGCGTAGCCGTTGCTTCTTGATTCGTTGAACTAAATATATCAATGTCACCGTATAACTCACACAACTCATCGTTTCATATGATATTCACTGTCGCCGTTGCCATCGCGCAAAGGACCATAAGGTTATGCTTAACCTTTCTCTCGAAAACTCGTAACGCCGACTCATCAGATGTTGTCATTGTCCATGCTTCCGTACCATATAGCAGGACGGGAACGATGAGGGACTTGTAGAGCTTTGTTTACTTTTCAAATGCCTACTAAGACCGATTCGTTTCGCTTCTTTATCAAGCCTGGATAAAGCAGAGCTAACGGCACTGTTGTTGAGGCCAATTATGTCAATATCATCGCCGTACGCCAGTAGCTATACACTCTTATAGAAGATTGTACCTTCTCCATTCAGCTCTGCAGCTCTTATTATTCTCTCCAGCATCAAATTGTCAATGGTTGACTTACCAGATCTAAAGCCACATTGATAAGAACCAATCAGTTTGTTGACGGTGGGTTTCAGTCTTTCACACAATACGCTCGACAGGACCTTATAGGCTATATTAAGGAGTCTTATCCCATGGTAATTGGCGTAGACTTTTTATGGATCGGGCAGAGCATACTTAAATTCCCATAGTCGGGAAGGCTTTCGACCAACCATATTCTGCAAAGTAGCTGATATATGTACCTTGTCAGCTCTTCACCGCCATGTTTAAATAGTTCTGCCTGTACGATAACGATATGTTAAAAAATTTGGCTTTGATGCGTATTGTGGCGAGACGCTCATCCATCCAACACTAAGTTTGCGCTTCTTTATATAGCCGCTGTAGTAAATGTCAGAAGAACCTGCTCGCTTCGTCTATGTTCCGTGCATCGCATTTCTTTGGAGGCGGTGATTCAGCCTTTATTCTTACGAGGACATCACCAGTTGGGCAGCATCACCTTCCCAATTAAGGGACCGGACATTCTAGGTGCATGCCCTTAAATCATGTACCTTATTATTAATGTTTGTTGGTGTCAAAATTATAATAAAAGATTTTATTCAGATTGAAGCCACTTAATATGCAAAAGTGACTATATTCGTTGTTTTCGTGGATTTTCAAGATATTATTTACATGTGCAGCATATAAGGTTTCCGGACTGGAAGGGGGATATAGGAAACACAAACAAAAAGATTACCTAACTTTCAACCACGATTCAACAATGACGAATATGTCGAAACACATCCTTGGTTTTGGTACGCAGTCCGATTGAAACAAGCCAAGCGTTTGATTATCTCTTTACCAACAAGATTTTATAAATTAATTATGTGCTTTAAACTGCTTTTGTCACATTGAAAAACATGAATCATTGCGCCCGCGCAATATCAGTTAGATGTAACCAGTGAAATGGTCTTAAGTCCTGTTCAGGAAACTAAGCTGACCGTCCGAAGGAAAACTTTATAAATGACTGGAGTCAAATGTAACTGCCAAAATAAACGATGTTATACAACTTGTTGATTTGTATTAAATGAATTATGTTCTGCAAAAACTCAGTAAAGTTTACTCTTTGTGAGAGCAAAATATCTTCGCATTTTAATTTTGTTGCTGACTAATTCCTTCTGACATTTCGTGCCGAACGGAGCTATAGAAAATAGAAAATGAACAGAACTTTTTCAACCACTTCGCCATCGAAGTCAATCGAACAATGAACATAATTCCAAGTGTATACCTATGTGCTATTTAAAAATTCGTCAACTCATTGGTAGAATTGAAAAAAGGGTTTTTTGCGAAATTGTTTGTATATTTTTAAGATAGAAGCACCTTTTTTAAATTTTAAATATATTTTATTAATTTGACGTCCGACTGAGTAGGGCAAGTTTGCTAGTGTACGGACAGTAGTAAGGTACAAAAAATAAGAAAAGTAAATGCATTCGAAGCAGAATATTTTATAAAATATAACAGTAAAATTTGTATGTAATGTCGGTTTGAGAAAGACCCCGGCAACCGTAGAAACCAAGCGGACCGCATCGTTAACTTAGAAATTTACTGTTTACTTTTTGTTGAAAAGTGTAGTATAGTTGCTTTCACAATAATATATATGTAAATATAATGGAAAATAGAGTGTATTTTATAATCATGAGCTTGAGGAAAGGTTCGAAGATGCCTCTGTGTGCCATATTGCCAATAGAAATTTACTTTATTTACGTTTAGAATAGGTGCGTTGTTCCATTATTCCTCTTCGCAGCACTGTCACCTTTTGTCTGATATTAAATAAACATTCAACAGGAGGACGAGAAAATTGAAACTAATTTATCATATTGTTAAATTTAACTGCCTGTTAAAGTGAGGATCACGAAAAAACGCACCTTAGCCGTTTAGAATTAATAAAAGTTTCTGAATCGGTATCAAATGTTTTGACATAATTGAAAAAAAGGAAATTGAGAATCTAGATAAAAAAGTAAATCGCCTGGCAACTAACATATTTCTCCCATATCGCTTTTTCTACAGATGTCGGAGCAAGCTCAGCTTGTTAGCCCCGGTGACATGGAATATGAACAAACTTGGGAAATCTCATCCAAACTCCCAATAACATCGGAGGCCCAACTTCAGGGTGTGGAGACCCAATTAAAAACAAAGTCCTATACTGAAGCAATGGTATTGATGCACACTTTTTGTATAAAAAAAAATAATTTTTATAATATGTTTAATATATTTTTGTATAACGCAGTTCGGACTGTTGGTGAAGACGAAGAGCCGCAAAGGAAGCGTGGACGGCGTCCTTCGCTTCTTGTTTGGCGACCAATTAATGTCGGATTACAATTTGGAAGGACGGAGGGGGAAAAAAACACTTTTGAAATTAAAGTGCTTAGGCATTGTTTTTGGTGAGCTTTGAACATTATATAAATTAAATATTTAAAAGCATTGTGCACACTTATTTCAGATGTCTTTGCAGAACGCACAAAGGAAAACTTATTTTTAGATATTAGAAATTACATATCACTAAGCCACAATAGATATAAACAATATAAACACAAGTTGAAGGTTAAGTTGGGTTTGCAAAAACTAAAAAATAAAAGATTATGAGGCATGTTCTGCCATTCACTTTTGAGTGAAAGTACTTTTATTCGACATTTGCTTTCAAAAGCCAACCTAAGGCTTATGTATCGAAATATGTCATTGCCTTGTTTCAGCTAGATGGCCTCGATGAACTTTATTAGCTATGCATAACATACATACATATAACGAGTAACGAACTGTTCCAACCACAAACAAAGGGGTATTTACTTTTTTGTCATTTAAATCCCATGGATTGAAGTGAAATCTTTCCTTGTATTTTTTCTTCGAGTTCAGAAAATTTTCCATCTTACTGATTATGGTAGAATTCATTTTGATTACTTCATTTTACCTAACTAAAATTCACAAATTAAATACGTTCGTAGTTTGCTACACTCAAATTTTAAAAATTTCAACTCTCATCAGCTGTTTGATAGTTCATTTCGAAAAGTAAAATGTAACTTCGAATCACTACTTTTTCAGAACATCCAAAATGTTATGGGCGTGTATGCTTGTTTTGTAGGTTCTTCGCAACTGCTCGGCAGATTAGATTGAAAATTTGTCAGTTTGTGACCCAGGGACTGACCTATTTTAAATAGTTGTATTTATGAGAATGTGGTCTGAAAAGAGCAGTTAGAAAGAATTAGATCAGTCCCATTCACTTGAAATAGGGGTTTTCCATGCAGTGGGCCACAGGGCCTATATTTTTGAGCAATTACATTTGGTTTGATTTAGGTATCGCTATAAAACAGCAAATAAGGTAAATGCGAATGTACATGCAATGCGCATATTGTTGCAGTCTTTGCTTAAGGTAATATCAATATAATGATATAATTCCTTATTAACGGTTGATTGAATGAATTCCAGTAGCGGAGTTCAAACAGTGAAATAAGTTAAGTTAACAAACCATGCTTCACGGTTTTTTGTATATATGGGATTGATTTCTTGATTTTTTTCGCTCTGTAAATGCGGAGGCCGCAGTACCCGAGTAGTTAGCATTGCGTACTGCCATTCGGAAAGTTCGGGTTCAAATCCCCGTGCGATCAACATCCAAAAGTTTTAGAAAATTAATTTAAATAACAAATTAAGTTAAGTTTTCTAATTGCGATCGCCCCTCGGCAGGGAATGTCAACCCTTCGGAATGTATTTCAGACTTGAAATAAAGCTCCTCATAAAAAACCATCAGCCGCTCAGAGGCGGCTTAGTATAAACTGTAGGTCCCTCCATTTGTTGGAAAAACTAGATGCAAAAACCACAAATTGGAGGAGGAGCTCGGTGGAAAATCGCTTCAACTATTACAAAGCGCTAATTACATATATAAATACGTTTTACTGGTAGGTCCAATGCGATTTAGAATCCTTTTCCAAAATTTTAGGACTTTCGATCTGTGAATACGTGCAAATGAAAAACGTGCGTTAATGTTTTTTCTCTACAGAAGAAGCTTTTGTCTGCTGACACGTTCATCCATACAAATTTGTTTCATTCAGACGTCTTCGCACTAGTCTACTTGACACTTTTAAGCCCAATTTCGAGTTGACTTCGACCATTGTTGCGCGTGTAGATTTAAAAAGATCGGATTTACTCTTCCTAACAATTATTTTATCCTCGCGGGGTGTTGTTTTGCGAGAGGGGGTTTTACGAATTTTGTCATGTGATAACAAATTGGAATCGCTATTAACATCCTCGATGACATTGTGCACCATTTTCTTAGTACATTTTAATATTTTGGTAATTTCCACTTGGTTTGTACCTTTTTTGTAAAGTAGCTTTCTCTGACCATCTTGTTAAGATATATAAGAATGATGTTTATATCTTTTGAGTTCACAACAGTATGCAATTATTTGTGCACCCGATCACAAGTGATAACAGAAAACATATGAGTGCGCTAAATGGTTGTTCAAGACATTTTCAGTGCAATTTGACAAAACCGAAACAACAACAGCAAAGGAGAAATGACAAAGGTACTTTTTTTGGAGTTTGAGCGGATTTTAAGAGCAATAGTGATCTAATATTGAGAAATTTGAGAAAGTGTTGTTCTTGAAAAAATAACTGAAGTTAATCAAACTTTAATTACTAGACCGCTAAAACTCTGTCCATAGCTGTATATGCGGGTGTAGCAATTTTCATGTAATTGTTTGTAAAAAAAAAACTATATATAACGTTATGAATCGAAAAGGTAAGTATGTAAAACAAAATTTATTTGAATATTTAATAAACTTAAAAAAATTATAGATTTCTATTTTTCATTTTAAAGGAAATATAGGTAAAATGTGAATAGCTTATGGGTAACAAATCGGTCATCAAAGGCATTTGTTTTGAATTACAACCGTTTAACACAAGCTTTTGTTTCCCTACATATATACATACATACATACATGCAAAGATTATTAAGATTCAGTCTTTTTTTTTCAATATTGTATATAAATCATGTACATGGTTTAGATAGCATGCAAAAAAAAAATAACATTACAACAATAAATTCGTTTTCAAAAATCATTCAAAAAATATAAGCAAAACCCCATATATGTTGCAAAAGTCTTTAATAGTGCCATGAGAGTGATGAAACCTAAAGAAGTTAAATAATCGACAATATATTATATTACTAACACATTTTCAGTTTTTTACTTTCTCTGCTATCTGCTAAACAAAGCAAATGGTGTTCTACTCGAAAAAAAGAACATGAAATAAAACGGATTATTCGTTCAACTGCATTTTCCTTCAATTTGTATGTACTCAGAAAAAAAAGATAAGCACAAAAATTTACTTACGTATGTGTTAGTGCTGCCCGAAATCGTCTGAGTGTATTGGTTACTGCCCGCTCGTTCCCGTTCTTACAGTGACGTGTTGGTTTTGAATAACAGAAAAATATTTATAATACAAAGCGAGTGAGTGAAAAAAGAATAACACGTACATGAAACAGAGCGGAGAAATTTATTTTTCCCTACGGCTAGAAGAAAACCAACAAATAGAATAGCAAATGCATGTATGTAAAGTAACATAGAGATAACATGTTAGGCAACAGTTACCAGTCTTGGTTCGTTGGGTGCACCTGGTTCTTGAGTTGACGGTACATCCAAAACGGTTAAAAACTATTATAATACGCAGAACATTTTTGTGCAACAGAGTCCATCAAAATGGTGGTGTGCGGGTTTTCTTGCTGCATTTATGTTTACTAATACCTTCATGGAAGAAATTTGAATCGCGTCTAATATCTGACTAATCTCCTTAAGTTTCTTCATTAAATGGTATAGATATATTCAACTTTATTCTGTATTTCGATTACGTTCCCGTTCTCCGCTCAGTCACAGTCGTAGTGATTTTCCAAGGAATCGAAAGAAGAAGAGGAAAAGGTAGACATTTTCGAAATTTCAACATAACTTAACAAACAACTAAAAAAACAAACAAACAAACAGTTTACAACGTGATTTGAATAAATTAAATCAATATAAATTAAACGTCTTCTTTTTAAAAATATAATCAAACCCAGTATTTTGAATTAATTAAGGGGAGAACATGGTTTAGAATGAAATGTTTCAATTATTTTTGAAATAGGTCATAGATACACAAAGCTTGCAAAAAAAAATTATTTTCACTTTATTTATTTCTGTTAAGCAATAACAATTCGTATTTGTTTGTCACACTTCTCGCTCGAAGAGTCTATTTTGTGAACACGATAGCGATCGCAGTTTTCATCTGTAACATAAAAACGAATATTTTTTTGTAGCTTAGGAGTTGCTCTTCTATGTGAACCTAGATATTCGAAGGAATGTATAAAATTATTTATTTTATGACTGTTTATAAAAAATTTTACTTTTTTCTGAAGAAATTTTAAGATAATTTATTGAAAAAAGATAATAAAAAATTTTTTTATTGGGATTTCTTAGGTTCACAGAGAAGCCTACACTATTAGCTGAAAAAGGTATCACTTATGAAAATGCGACAATTACAACTTTTTTAATCGTGTGCAAAAAACAGAAAACACTGTTTTGAGAAAATCGCGTTCAAAGTTCTTGCGCCCGCTTATCAGTCTCCTGAGCGCATTGTCTCTCACAGGCCATTTCTGCGGAACGATTAGGGAAGTTTTGTGGAAATATTTCTGAATATAATTCTAATCGAATGAGATAAGTTTCGAAAAATTGATTTTTTTACCCTCTAAACCAGGTTCCTCCCTTAATTATTAATTAAAAATCAATTTATAAATAATTCTTGTATATAATAAAATTCGAATTCATTTTACATGGACGAAAAACTTTACAAAAATATATTATGTTGGTTGTGCTTTTTTTATCCTGTAGTTGCTTCGCTGCATTATCTGCCATGCTCTCTAAAGAGCGATTCATGCCTCGCAATCTTGGACACACCTTCATTTTGACTTCTGCTTTCTTCATAAAACCTTTTTTGCAAAGCTATTTCCTTCCTCCCGTTAGATTTTAAAAACTAATTTCCAGTAATAACTTAACTTTATCCATGTATTGAAGTCTTTTGATGGTTCTAGCCTATCAAATGACTGTAGAGGAATGGAGCTGGCAGAATAGATAGCCGATTCGACATTCTTCACAATGAACGATAACACCCCCACCAGAGTTATGGGTAATTGCCAAAGCTCGCCAGGCATAACAATTGCGAGTGCTGGTCTGATAAACAGTATGGTCTGGCGACCTATACTGACGTTAGCATCGGACCACTTGCCAAACAAATCTCGATTGACAGGCCTTCCGACTTTGTTTCCGCGGACCACCGGACATTCGTTAACTTTAAAAAAGCTAACTGGCCCGGATTCACGGAATTCTATCAGAAGTCACCACTGGTGAACGTTTATTCCGCAGGGTCGTCGTGACCGCTACCGCCCGCTTCATCGGCCGAATTGTGGAAACGCGCTCAAATTTTCCGACAGAAGTGGCGGTATTAGCATCCAGGCGCGAGACCCTCCAAAGTTCCGATCCCGGGAATAACCTAATCAGGGATTTAAACGCGGACATTCGAAGAGTAGTCAACATTCACAAGCGGAAAGAGTGGGAGGTGCACCTAAGGACCTGCAACCTCTCCTCTGGGGCAACCAAGCGTTGGGCTACAGTCAAGTCGCCGTCTAACCCGACGAGACTTGATGACCGGGTGGAAGAGATGCGCGAGCTATTTTAGCCGACTTTTCACACTGCATCCCTCGGTAGACAAAGCGAAACGACATGTAACTCGCGGTATGCGCAAACTGCCAAACACCAGCGCGGTGCCTGATTTCTCCAGGGAGGAGGTTCAGGCGGTCATTGGGAAGGCGAAAGCCTCCTTTATCCATCGGCCCCGACGGAATAAGCATGCTGATGCTGAAACACCTAGGACCAGCGGGAGCAGAATTTCTCACGAGGGTCCTCAATTTGTCTCTGACCACCCGGAAGATAACCGATGTGTGGAAAATGGGTAGGGTGGTCCCGCTTCTCAAACCGGGGAAACCAGCCAACAAAGGAGAGTCCTATCGGCCGATCACTCTCCTCTCCCCAGTAGCGAACATTTGAGGCCTTACTGCTCCCGACTTTCAATCACCATCTGCGTCCAGCAGCGCATCAGAATGGCTTCCGAAAAGTGCACAGTACCACAACAGCACTAAACACCATAAACACTCATACAGTCCATGGCCTAAACCAAAACCGACCTTGCGCGCGAGCTGTCCTGGTAGCAATGGACTTGTCAAAAGCTTTTGACACAGTCAATCACTCACTGCTACTAACGGACATTGAGGAATCCTCATTATTGCCGGGGCTGCAGAGGTGGGCCATGGGCTACCTGAGTGGTCGACAATCATCGGTAATATTCCGAGGTGTAACATCTAAACACAGGAAAATTAAACAGGGGGTTCCGCAGGGTGATGTCCTCTCCCCGCTACTGTTTAACTTTTATATCTCGAAACTCCCTCCACCACCAGAAGGAGTTTCTCTAACCTCTTATCCCGATGATTGTACGATAATGGCGTCTGGCCAGGATATTGGTGACCTCTGTTCGAAAGTGAACGGTTACCTCACTGATCTCTCCCACTTCTTCACTGCAAGACAGCTAAGACTACAACCGACGAAATCCTCGGCTACCCTTTTCACCAGCTGGACGAAGCAGTACAGGCTTGGTCGGTCGGTCGAAAACTATGCTGCACCGATCTGGGCGCCGGTGACGAGCGAGACGCAGATGAAGAAGCTACAGGCTTGCCAGAACACCGCACAGCGAAGCATCAATGCTATGAGTTAAGGTGCATAATGCTTTGCTGTGCAAGCAGTTCCTATTGGCATACTACCGTAGGGAGCACCCCAGTAGGCACCTAGTAGAAGCTGCACCTCCACTTAGGCACATCAAAAAGGGGTACTCCCTTTCTTAAAGGACACAATCCAGCAATATGTACAACAACCGCTGGACAGGACGGCGTACCGACAAGCACTGAACGCCATTCACCAGGAGTCAGTTAACACCTTCTAGGACTCCCTTCCAATGAATGGCGGACTCGGAGAAAAACCACCACCTATAGCAGGCAACGAACTCGTGCTGCCTCGAGAGACCCCCGTGACCCTGACACAACTTAGGTCTGGATATTGTAGCAGGTTAAACTCCTACTTATCCAGACTATATCCCAGCATACTCAACGTATGCCCTGCATGTGGAGATTCTCCGCACGACACTAACCACCTCTTCACATGCCCCCTCAAACCAACTCATCTAACCCCCCTCTCCCTCTGGTCCAACCCCGTCGAAACAGCTTGTTTCCTGGACCTCCTACTAGATGACCTCGGCGACTTAGACTGATAAAACCTGTGCCTAAAAGTGTTAGCGAACCGCTACAACAACAGCAACAACTGAAATTTTTAAAGTAAGCCTGGCAGAGCTCTTTTTTCGAGTGCCTGGGCGAATTCCAAAACGTCAAAATGCTTTGTTGCGAAACCGCATCATTACAATGCAACCTTGCATTCTACAAACTCTGACGTTTTGGAATGCTTTTCGTGCAAATAAGTAATTTCAAAATAAGTAATATATTATTTTAAGCGCAAAATACTTGCTCTCCGACGTCGGCCGTTGTAGTTAAGAGTTTATGAGAAAGTAAAGCATCTCAAACCTTAGGGATGCGCAGTTTGCTTTTGTTTGCGCATCAATAACTTTACCGATGCATTTTGGAACATGATATATCGTCAAAGTTTGCTTTGGAATTCGTATAAACATTATTGAAATAATCACTGACATCGTACTGTAAAACTAAATGCTTTAGAACTTTTTAGAATGGTGACAGCATTTCATTTCGATTGAAAACCCAATATACATATATGGGCTAATCACTTACCCACGAAATTTTTGAACAGAAGCGACACGTACTCGTTAAGTAACTAAGCCATAATACTTCGTGATATTTTATCTCGCAGAAAAAAGTGTGTATTTATTGTATTTTTCAAAAACTTTTTTGTATTGTATTTTATAGAACCAAACTTAATAAAATATTCGCATTCATGATTTAGCACCAATGACTTATAACATCCCACTAAACAACGTCTCAACTATTTATATTAATATATTTTAATAAATTCGAAGATCCGAACAAAAGTCGACAGTTTATTGTTAGAATTGGAAAGCATTTAATATTTCCATGATAAAAATATATTTGTTTTTATTAAATTTATATTTTTTTAAGATTTTGAGCTTGATGATTGAAGTATTGACATTTTAAAAGTATTTATCTTTTTATTGGAATAATTAAAGAAAAAAATTTAAACACAATAACATGTACATAAATTATGTGAAATCGAAATTTTTGGTACTTGATGCAATTAAAGTTGTGCCATGTGATTTCATATGACCGCTAAGGCCAGCGTATTGGGCAAATCGTTTATCACAAATCCTGCAGCAATATTTTTTTTCTGGAGCATGAATTTGTTTATGTTGCCGCAAATGTTTTGCACTTGTAAAACCTTTACCGCATTCGTTGCATATTTTGTCACGCACGTTACTGTGTACATTCATATGCTCGTTATATAAACCTTTTCCAAAGAAAGACTTATTGCACACCTCACACCAGTGACTCGGTCTATTCTCATGCCGACGCATGTGCAGATTAATCTTCGATGCTGTCTGGAAGTTTTTCCCGCAAATATCACAAACAAATGGCTTTTCGCCGGTGTGTGAACGCATATGAATTTTTATTTCGGTGGTCGTTGCGCAGGGTTTACCACATAATTCACATTTGTATAAATAGTCGTGTACATGCCGCCGCAAATGTACGGACAAATTTGTAGCTAACTTAAAACCGTGACCACACACATGACATTTAAACGGTAGCGAGCCATCGTGTGATGCTAAATGCACTTTGTACTGACAAATACCAGCCACTGTTACTCCACATATCGAACATTCAAATGGTCTAACATCGACTTCCAAATACGAAATGTGTTCATAAAATTTGCATGAAGGTTTGTGAGCCTTATTTTGCCTTTTGCATATGATTTTCAGCTTTTTTTCATGTGAACATAATTTTCGAAGTCTTGAAATTTCACATCCAATGTCATATTCTGTTAAGTTTAGACCAGCCCTACTATTGAAATCTTCGTGAACAGCTTTTAATGCCTCTCGCCGTCTGTTACTGAATCTATATGCGATATCATTTTCATCCCATAGACATGTGTATTCCTTATATACTTCAGCGAGCAACACGCTTTGTTCGTCGTTTAACAGACTTTCTGTTTGTGGTGTGGCCGGTAGTTTCGCTATATTTGTAGGCTCGGGTCTCCGTTTAATCTACAAATAAAATAAAGAGCTATGAATAAAAGTAATATTGAAAAATAATTATATATACATTCATATAAACAAAAAAGCACTTAAACTTTTCGATTAGTTTACTTAAAATTGTACGTAGACTTGATTGGCACACTCCAATCATTTCAATGTTTTCGCAAGAAAATTAAAAACTTCCCCGTTCACTCTAAAATAAATTTCAGATTTTTTGCGTTTCGAGTTTACTTACACACGGAAACTTTTGTTGTTCGTTGTGTTCCTTATTGTAGGAAATTACTTTCATTTTATACTTTTAATATTTTCAGTTTCAAATGGAAATAAGTTAAATGAATTCAATTAAGAATAGAAAAGTTTATATTTTACTTAAATATATGGACACATATGTATTATTGAAAATAAATTTACGAATTTTTAAATGATTTTCCATCCATTACTTGCGAACCAGATTACACTAAGCAAGTGCAACACCAAACGGTTCACAGAATTGAAAAAACGTGATTCTTCTAGCAAAAACAGAGTCCGAATTTTTATGTAAAACGGGTATTTGTGGGACATAAAAATCACATACTGCATCTCCTCTGCATTTATTTCCAAAACAAAATTAGTTTAGACCAGATTGATTACAGATTAAATTTGATTACTTTTCCAGTTCGATATCCGTTACCTCACATTCACGATTTTAAAAATTGGTTTAGTTCATGCATATCATCGAACACCAATGGTTGAGGAAGATATACATAAAACAGCAATAATAACCACGCCTTTCAGAAAGTTTGAATTTGAACGTATGCCTTTTGGACTTAGAAACAGTGCTCAAACATGTCAACGGTTTATTAATGAAGTATAGTATTTTCTGGATTCGATTTCTCATTTGTTTACATCGGTGATACTTTTATAGTTATCCTGCAAGAACGGGCTGATGGGTTCACCAATACACTCACACAATTTCGGGCAGCACTAACACATATGCACATTCTTTTGTTTATCTTTCTCTTCTGAGCGCATACAAATTGAAGAAGAATGCAGTTGAACGGATTATCCGATTTTCTTTGTTCTTATTTTCGAGTAGAACGCCATTTAAATCGTTTTCTCCGCGGCAGATAGAAGTGAAAATATACAATATGATGAGGATCCTGTACAAGCTGTAGTAATGATATAATATATTAATTTTTCATAACTCGTTACTTTGTTTTTATTCAAAGGTACGCTTCTCATCTTACAGGAGTAGCACATTTATTGTTGTATTGTTATTTCTTTTGTATACTATGTAAACATGTACATGTATTATGTAATATATTGAAATAAAGACTGAATCTTAATAATGTTTGTATGTATGTATATATGTAGGGAAATTTTTTGTCAATGTAGAATTCCTTCGACATCAATGCTGTCGCTTATCTGTGTTCGGCTTGTATGGCACTGCTGTTTTCGGCCTTAAGAAAGTGATAAGAAAATTGTCATCACGCATTCTTGACATAAACTACGACAGATTGTGAAAAAGTTAAAAACTGTTCGCTTTATTAACACAATTTGATAAAACATAATCAATTATCAACTGCAGCAGATCCTTCAAATATATACACATACCTATATTCAATAAAATGTGCGAAACCTAGCAATGAGGAGTATACAAAATAATACGAAAAAAAAATAAATAAATAAAATAAAAAATAAAAGAATCGCTCAAAGTTTCAATTTGAATATGAATTGCAATACTAAAATAATAGCATACTCAACCCATCGGAAACTTTTCTTTTATTGTTGCCCGTAGCGTTCACACAAAGAAAGTTTTTTTTCGCATTTTACTGTATACTCCTCACCTTTTGAATTTTTTGTGAATATAAACTATTACTATACCTACCAAAGGATTTCACGGTAATACTATATATCGATATATATTCATTTAAAAATACAAACTTAAATTCCTCAATTATTCACACATTCATTTATATTATCTATGTATTTATTTTTGATTCGAAATAATAAAAGAATTTGTGAGCCCTACTACCGATCTTAACGAATAAACAAGGTGCACACAAATTAACGATCTGCATATACGTATTACATATTGTATGTAGATGAATACCTTTAATAATTCAATTTGATATCTATTATTCAAATATTACAATAATAATTTGTAAGAAATTGTAACTCTCTAAGCATATATTTAAAATTCTTATATTTATTTTAACAAACTATTTTATTGGGCATCAGTTGGCATAAAGATTTATACATTCATATTAATAAACATATTTTCTTCAACTACTTCAACACTTTTAGAACTCAATTCGACCAATGTTGTGCCGTGTTGTTTAACATGTCCGCTTAGCCCGGCATATTGTGCAAATCGTGTACCACAAATCTTGCATTTATATTTCTTTTCAGACGCATGGATTTGCTTATGCTGTCGCAAATGTTTGTTTGATGTGAAACCTTTATTGCAGACATTGCATATTTTGTCCCGAACGTTTGAATGAACACTCATGTGTTCCCTCATCACACATTGCAAATAGAAGCCCTTGTTACAAATTTCACATTTGTACCGCGCATTTTTGTCGTGACGGAATTTATGTTTTTTAACCTCAGCTAATGTACGATATGATTTTCCACAAACTTCACAAATATATGGTCTTTCTCCAGTATGACTTCGCATGTGAGCCTTTAATTCGGTAGTTGTTGCCCAGGGTTTGTTACACACTTCACACATATACAAGAAGTCCTGAGCATGTCGCCTTAAATGTATGGTTAAATTAGTTAACAAATTAAACCCATGACCGCAGATATCACATTTGAATGGTTGCGAGCCATCGTGTGATGCCACATGTATTTTATATTGTTGGGAGCCAAAAATTAATTTTCTGCATATTGGACATTCGAAAGGTGTAACATCAGGTTCGAGAAATGATATAGCATTATAATACTTGAATGTGGGTTCAAAAGGCTTATTATGTCGTGTAGAAAGAAATTTTAGCTTTTTTTCGTTAGAACATATTTTTCGAAGCCGTAAAATTTCACATTCCACATCGTACTTTGTTAGGTTTAATCCGCATTGTTTATTAAATTCTTCATGCAGGGTTTCGAAAGCTTCTCGTCGTCGGTTACTGAATCTATATGTTATATCAGTTTCATCCCAAAGTGTGCGAAGGCCTTTGTAAATTCCTGCTAACACCACAAATTGTTCGTCATTTAAAATGGTTTCTGGTAGTGTGAATTTTTTTCCACTTGGTTTTGGCTTTGCCTGAAAAAAATGTGTACAGTATTTTAAATAATAACAAAATATTGTGAAACTTACATTTTCTTTAAAAAATTTAATGTGTTAAATAAGTTTTTTTTCTTTGTATTTTATAAGTAGGAAACTTCACTTCTATGGGGGACTACAGACGGGTAAGCAAATTTATGCTTAAAGTGTTTTGCTACACACATATAAATCGGTGTGTAAATTTCATTCGACACTGTACGTTGACGAGTAAAGGTCATCATCATCTTGACTAGAAACAAAATTCTTCCCTTCGTGAGAACGCTCAAAAATCGTTTATAACATTCCACGGCCAGTGATATGAAAAATAGCACCAGTGGTGGAATTCACTGTTGTATCTTAACGATATTTGCTTGCGCTTGATCAGTAGTTGCTGTTAACTACTCGACAAATTGCTAATTAAGCGACGAATACTTTGACAAAAGGTTTGAAATTTTATTAAGGCTAAAAATAAGTAAAAATAAATAAATAGAAATATAGAAACAAAAAGAAAATAATAATCGCCTGATTATTACAAGCGAATAAAAGAATTTTATATATATAGATAAGCAAATTTTTTATTAATTGCTGATGATGTAAAGCTTTTCATTTATACCTCGATTGACGAAAGACATTTATTACAAACAGATATAAGCAATTTAGCAATTTAGCTTCTTAATAGATCAATTTGTAGCTCCTCTCCGTTGTCGAACCAATGTTCCAGCTCGGTGTTATTTAAAAGTCATGCAAAACCAATTATGAACTAGATGAACAAATGAACCATTTTACCGATTAGGTCCCGATTTCAATTTTCATTTCAGCACCTTCGATCTTTCAGCATAAAAAAAAAACACGATTCTTGCTTCTTTAAACAATCAAACTTTATATTTCGATATTTGATAAACCAATATTCGAGCAAATTCCTCATGTTAAACGGATGGCGCCCCTCGTTCCGATTGTGCTGGTTTAATATTTTGTATGTATATCTTTTCAGATTTTTAACTTTATTAAAATACTAAAAGGTTCTGATCGGTTTACGATTTTTTGCAACTGGATGCTATGAACGTCTCTTTGGAGAGCAATGGAAATTATCTATGACCCAGTCGTCCGTAAACCGTGGTAATTGTCGTTAAAATAAAATGAATCACAAAATCTTTGGTGCAAGCGACGAAATTCGTAAGTTAACGATCCGACTAATCGTATCGATAAAAGTTAATTGGGGTTATTTTAGCGGCCTTCCCAACCCCATTAGGGCTAGTTAATCTAAGTCACCGAGGTCATCTAACGGAAGGTCCAAGAAACGAGCTGCTTCGACGGTTTCGAACCAAAAGGAAAGGGAAGTTAGACGTGTCGGTTTTAGGGGATGTCCAAAGAGGTTAGTATATCATAGGTGAAAAGGGTAGCCAAAGATTTGTTTGGTTGTATTCGTAATTGTCCTGCATTGAAGAAATGAAAAAGATCCTCGAGATAGCAGTTTACTTGCGAACGCTTCGAGAGATAGAACTTAAACAGAAATGAGGAGAGGACACCGCTCTGCGGAACCTCTTGTTAAATCTTCCTGAGTTTCGAATTTTAACTTCGAAATATTACCGGTTGCTACACAGGTTGCCCATCATCCACCTCTTTAACCGCGGCGGTAATCACACTGAATAGTTGACAGTGTCAAAAGCTTTTGACAGATCCTGTGCTACTAGGACAGTTCGCGCAAAGGGTCGGTTGTTGTTGAAACCATTGCCTATATCAGCGTTTATGGCGTTAAGAGCTGTTGTGGTACTTGTGCACTTTGCGGAAACCATGCTGATGTGCTGCTGAACTTACATGGTGTGAAAGTCGGGAGCAGTAAGGCCTTTAAAGTCTTCGCTACTGGCGAGAGGAGAGATATCGGCCGATAGGACTCTCCTTTGTTGCCTGGTTTCCCTTTAGTGATTAACGGGAACACCCTGCCCATTTTTCACATGTCGGGTATTTTTGGGGTTGCAAAGGACAACCGGTGACCGCGGTAGCCAAGTGGTTAGCATTGCGTACTGACATTCGGAGGACTCGGGCTCATATCCCGGTGCCACCAACATCCCTCTTGGGAGGGAATGTCCATCCCTCCGAGTGTATTTCGGACATGAAATAAAGGCTCTTCATAAAAAAGCCATCAGCCGTTCGGAGGCGACTTAGTATAAACTGAAGGCCCCTCCATTTGTTGGAAAAACATAAAGACGCAAAGCAACAAATTGAGCTCGGCCGAAAAATGGCTACAGCGGTTGCAAAGCGCCCATTATTTATATAAAGACTTATTCCGTCGAGGCCGGGAACGTCTTTGATTACAATTATAGTCCAGTCCAATTACTATCGGATAATGAATACTATTAAGTAATAACATAAAAATTAATATAATTCCTTTAATATTTCCTGCTGAGGCGATCTTCTTTAGTAATAAAATCAGTGGATTTTTTTTATATACGTGTACGTAGTGGTACTGGCGTGTTTGGCATATCGGCTATTGATTGTTTCCTGTTATGATTTTAATGCGAAAGGTGAGATTTCGAAAATTATAAAACGCTATATCTCAATAAAAATTATGCTTTTTTATTACTACATTTTTACCAAAACTTTCTTCCAAAAGTAAAAGGATATGTACATCACAAAATATTAATTTTTTCCACCATTCCAACGATACCAAAGTTATTTGGTGTAGAACTTTTTAAGATATAGCGTTTTATAACTTTCGAAAATTCTCTCTTCCCTTTCTTTGAAAATAAGAGTTTGCCACAAAAAAATGTATATCATTAAAATCTTGAAATCAGAGCGGACCACGACCATTAATTCATTTTCTTCTACCTTAACGGCCTGTATTCTGAACTTATGCCATAAAATATTACTGAATTTTACTGAAACGCGTTAGGTGAGACAAAAAATTTGTTAAATTTGAACTGCAATTTTGACATTTCGTTACTGGCTAATTTCTTACCGAAAAAATTTTACTTCTAATTAAAAAAAATATGAAAATGTAATAGGCAACGTAAATATAACATCATCTTAGCAACAAAAAATTACCTCAAACGCTAATGCAGTAGTTATTTTTTCTCCACTATAAATGTTTAAGTATGTATGTACAATTTTTTAATTTTTTGGTTATGGCAGAAGTATGCCTTTATATTTAAATCATCCATCACCATCAATAACTTTTTAGTATTTGTATCATTTTATCACCGACGTGAACTCAACGAAATCACAAAGGACAATAATACACGAACTTTGTTACACACACAAGATAGGGACAGATTAAAGTTTAAATGTAAGCAGGTTGTTTGTTTACTTGTCTGTAGTCTGTGGAGAATGATTACAGATATATTCCTATAAAAATATTTATACATGGGAATAAATTTCCCGTAGAATACTGTACCCTGGAAACATGGCAATAGGAAATTGGGTTTGTTTTCTACCTAGTTCTTCTGACCGCGGTGTGGAGCATCATATATATTTTTATGTGAAATTATTGTTAAAAAGTAAATCATTGCATAATTCTCGATTTCCTCAAAAATTGTCACTAATAATTCGCATGTGAAATATATGTGTATCCTATATGAAAATTGCTTAAAGTCTATATCAAATCGGTATGACCAGATGCCCATCATAAAAATTCAGTCTGGAATTAATTCGGATGCTGGAAAAACCATCAGCACTACTAATGGCAGGAAGAACTCGGCCGAAAATCGTGCGTACAAGTCAAAAGCTCGTTCGGTTTTTATTGATTTTTCAAAATATGATAACTTTGTGTACATTTGTTCGATTTAAATCTACTATGCTCCGTTTTGTTCGTAAACTTGTTGCCAACCGCTTTTGTGGAAGACTGCGTTCCAATTGGCAAAAAAACTCGGAGAGCCAGTTTTCACAGGCCTCTCTTGAGGCCAACTTCTCACCATTAAGCGCGTTCGCCGTGGACAGGTAAAGATGGCAATTACTAGGTGCCAGGTCCGGACTATAAGGTGGGTGCATTAGGACATCCCATCTGAGCTCCTGGAGCTTCTGGCGTATCTCCAAAAACGTGTGTGGTCCGACGTTGTCCTAATGGAACACAATTCGGCCTCTGTTGATCAAAGATGACCTCTCCTGTGTAAGTGCTTCCTTCAAGCGGTCCATCTGTTGGCAGTAGAAGGCCTAATTGAGCGTTTGGTCAAAGGAAAGCAGCTCGGTGTAGATGATTCCTTGTCAACCCCACCAAACACACAGCAAAACCTTCCTGGCCGTTAATCCGGCCTTAATCACCGTCTGGGCCGCTTCCCCGAGCTTTGACCACGACCGTTTGCGCTCTATGTTGTCGTAAGTGACCCTTTTTTCATCGCCAGCCACAACCCGTTACAGTATCAGACCCATAAACTAAATTAATTTTTCAGCCGCTTTGGTTGCTTTTTCGCCTTAATCGAAGAAAAGTTTTTAAATATAGCGAATTTTTTCTTTGCTGGTGTCCATCTTTGACCAGCGCTCGCAACGTACTGAGTCAATCATTCGAAAAACTGTCAAAGACAAACTTTTAGCGCGAATAAACACGTTTTCAGCGCCTTATAGTATGACATGATGCGTAACACTAGTACTATGGACAATAACGCAATTTCTATGATAAAAACCGAATGAACTTTTTACTTGACCTAATATTTTGTTCTTGTAATTGTGCGAGCGAAGTGTCAAAACATGACTTAAATTAATATTACTTGTGTACTTTCGAAATTAGAATTAGCTGAAATAATCGTTTTTCACGTTACAATAATTGAAAAAGCCACATCGCAGATTCAATTTGTCGATTATAAAATTATTATTAATGGATCTACAGTGTAACAAAGTGTAAACTTACCTGAACGCTTTGCCGTTTTGGCTTAAGAAAAGTAGTTAGATCGTTGTAGAAGAGAGGTGTGTAAGCTTTGCCTTTCGAATGATATATCTTTTTTCTAACAAACTCTGTGCGTAGCCTGGTACTCAATTTTCCAATCATTTTTCGAATAGCTTGCCATTCCGATGGCATACCTATTTCTATAGCGATATCCTTAAACTCCGTGTCCCTTTTTCTGCTATGTTTGGACAATTGAGAGTCTGTATCCCATAGCAATGTGTGTTCTTCATAACTTTTGAAAACGGCGATCAACATTTTTTCATCAAACATTTTTCCTAGACCAAGTTCCTGAAAAAATATTAAATGTTGTATATTGAAATAACCCAAAAAATTTAGCTCAAAACCTTTATGTATGTCGCTAATTCAGAGCTGTTTTCAGAATGTTCCGCATTATCCTTATTTTCTATATCAACATCCTGTTTAGAAGATATGTTTGGTTAGCTTTAAGCAGATTACTTGAAATTATATATAAACTTTCCTCACTATCCTCGCTTATGTAGCTGTCAATAAACTCATCTTTCACGCCTGTTGAATCATCTATCTTGGACTCGTCCAACTCTATTTCAACCCTCTCGAAATCTCGAAAATTTGAATTATCGTCATCGCTCTCCTGTAAATTATTTTTTAATCTTATTATTCCTAAATACCTAAAACGCGATGGTAAATTTATAGAGCATGATATCTAACGTGGTATTACCTCCACCGAACACGCCGTCTGCATTTGAATGTCCACATCGTCGATTTCTTCTTGTAACTCTAATGAAAACTCGGTATCATCTTCAATCTTCGAAGCAGTAAATTGATACATATGATCCTCGCACATATGTTGTACGAAATTCTCTAATTGTAGGAAGGTATAGTCACAAAAAGAACAATTCAGAAAAAACTCCTTTTTGCCAATTGACAATAGAGTAGTTATTTCCCCACATCTCTTTAAGTCATCACTTTCAATTTTATGTTTATCCATTTCGGTCTCCATTAGAATTGATTGAAATGATCAATATTTTATTTAAGATATGTATTTACTTTCTTTGTGACTTTGACGATAAACAAAGTTTTAACAACCAAAAACCTTAGTGATATAACACGCAACTAATACTCGATAGCTTTTATCGACTTATCACATGTGTTGTTTATACTGTTACGATTTTACTAAATCAACCTCGATTATTTTCTAGATCCTTCGGGTACGATCTCTGGATTGTTAAATAAAAACTCGCCAATTCAATTTGCAGTTTCTCTCGTTATAAAGATTTTATCTAATGTCTTTTATTTACTCCGTAATTCACAATACAATTACAATACACTCTACTATTTACAATCACTATCATCAACTTGCACAATTCACTCTACTTAAATGTACTCTCCAACGTGTTTACTTTACGACTTTACTGATGTTAACGCCAACGAGTTTACTTTATCACTAACTTGACTTGCAGCTGAGTGTCGCCTTTATATAGCAGTCGGCTGCTCGCAGACGAAAGCGTAGAAGCATCGAATTGTTCGCTATGG